TGGAGAATGTTCGGACACGTGGCATACTAGTACGATATATTTACAAGTGATGATGATGCAGAATAAATGATGGTTGTGAAGATATAACACGTGTCCGAACATTCTCACGAGTGAAACACTAAGCATTCTGATCGGCGAACATGCATGTGGTCGATGAAACTCCACAAGAACTAAATATGCATACCTGGTCAGGGCTTTACTCGTCGCCTACCGGATAAATAACAGAAACGACTACATAGAAGCTAAATATAAATATGTGGAGCTTACCTATGGCCTCGAAAACCTAGAACAGGATCAAACTACTCCATCAAAGTTGGTAGGTACAGAGATAGACCACGACGACGCAGGACGATGAAAATTCAGACATCAGCAGAGTGGCAGAGACTTGTTTTTGCATATCCTCAAAAGCGTGGACGCTCTCATCAATCGCCTACATGAGACGGAAGTACCTCTGTGGCAACGGTTAACCCAGGTCGGAACCGCGTCAGCTGTACTTGCTGGCGGCGCCGCAGCCGTAGCGTCCGGTCCGGTTGGCTCCTTACATGCGCTTGCGGTTGGCTTGAGAATCATCGTGGGTGGTGCGGTCGCAGAAGTTGTGACAACCAAAGCGATGAAAAAACCCAGCCTCTTGAAGCCCCTCGCCGATATCTTTCGAAAAGAAGCGGGATACCTGACAGGCAAGGAGGCGCTCAGGAAGGCCCGCACAAAAAGTATCCCGCCCCGGAGGCGCTTTCGCACTGCTGAGCAACTCCGTGCGAGGATGAACTACAGCGGTAAAGAGGACACCACGGACCTGCCGGAGTTTTTCGTCAAAGTCCTCGTTCTGCCGTACGTCGGAAAGGTGGTCAAATTGTTTCTCGAGGGCGGTGTTGGTCTCAAGAGTATTGGTCTCCTACTCCTCCCACAACCGGACATGAAAGACGCGAGCGGCAACTCCATCAGTGCGCTAGCGATGCGTGTCTTTACGCACCACGACGGAAAAAAAGAGAGCCAACCATTCTTGGAGCTCCTGTTTCAGAGCACGAAGTCTGAAGTGTTGGAAGTGGCTCTGGATAAAGTCGTAGTGGATCCTATAGTGTCCGCTGGCCTCCCGTGGTTTCTTTGGGGCATGTGGGACAGCTTTGCAGTTCTTCTCTCCGCGGACGAGAGAGGGAAAGAACGACCCGCCGAACAAGAACAGCAAAAACACGTGACGTACCCTCCCAACCCTGTGCTAAAGCCGGAAGCTTTTCCGACAGAAATCCAAATCCCGATCTTGCAGAAGATACTGAAGGTCAAGATTCCATCAATTGTTCCAATCGCGAAGACGATAGTCCGAGCGGTGTTGCGAGTGACGCTCCGCACATTGGATCCGCTCTCGCAGGAAGAAAGCCTGGGAGTCGACATCGACAAAAACTTCATTCCGACACCAGCAGCGAAAGAAGCAGCACAACTCTTCGCGGTTTCTGCCACGGAGCAGCAAAAAGTAAGACTAGATCCAGAGTGGGCGGCAGCTAATCTCGCGCCCCCCGCGACCGTAAATGCTTTCCAGAACTTTCTTCCTGGGGAGGAGTATGACTTGGGCCCGGATGAAGATAACGTCCTGTCCGTCCCTTCTCCTTCTGGAAGTAGCTCCAGTTCCTCCCCGGGCGACGGCGACGGGACATCGACTCCAAGGACAGCAGTTGCGTCTCCGCCTGGTCCAATGCTGGCTGCTCTACTACGGGCTCCCCCTCGTCTGACAGCAAATCAACCATCAGGCGACGCGGCAGTTGGAGAATTTGTGAAAAAGCAAAATGAGATTCGCAGCAGAGTATGGGGCCTGGCTCGGAAAGAGTTCCAAGCGAAAGAGTTCCAAGCGAAGATAGAAGGAGCAGCTTCTTCCGCAACGCAGCTAGCGTGGTCCCCTACTGTTACGAAAGGAAAAGTGGCGCCGACTGCGACGCCTGCGTTGAATGTGAAAGACACCACCACGGGCACTGGCCAACAGAAGAATGCGCGGGACCAGGTCCAGGGCCCTGCTTACGGCGAGGACGATCTTCCTTGTGATTCGCACGCGGCGAGCGGCGGAGGAAGCGCAGGAGCTACTAGTGCCACCACTTCTGCGATTGTAGGAGGAGAAACAGGGGGTAGCAATCTCGACGCACGCACTTCGGGCATCGCGTCGGGCGTCACGGGAGTGGGCGAAAACATTTACGCCGGGAAAGCTTTTACCTTCTTTAGCCATGCCCCTCATAGAAGTAACAGCAGCCGGACGCCCTTCACACGCATGATCTTGATTTCAAGTTGTCGCATCGCTTGCATGGGTCTTATGAGCATACCTGCATCTGCTTTTTGAAAAGTCAACTATCCGACAGCTGTTAAGGCTAGGTATGCTACTATATACATAGTTACTTCTACAGCTGCAGTTATTTTCGCTTCAATTTCATCTGTACCACCGAAACCGATGTTTTGTTTTTGTCTACGTCTTCTCCCTAATAAACAGACTGTCTGTTGTTCTTGCTTTGTGTTGCTGCTGCCGCGGATGAACATGGGCATGCCTGATGATGGTTTTGCACAGGATAAAGCGCTTTTTCTCGACTCGCCTCCACGCAAGACATCGGGATCACGGACAAGTAGTGCGCAAGGACAACCAGCCGCAAGAGCAGCGCCAGCGTCTGCAGTGGCAAGGAATTCTGTTGGAGGACATGATGAGGGACTGAGCGTGACACTGGTGCAGGGTAAGGAGGTGAACGGAGGCGATGACAACGTCAACTTTTTGGAGCCACCAAGCGCGAGCGCCGGTAGCGGCGAGGACGCGAACATGCTGGCCGCGCAAGCTTCTTCGACGGCGCTGAGCAGTGGCAGTAGCGGTACACCGAAGGTTAAAGAAGAAGTCGAGGCGCAGCGGCGCGAGACGCACGAAGTGGCACAACCACTAGTGAAAAACGTTGACCACAACCAGAACAAGAATGTCAAGACCGCAAGGACGCCGACTGGAATTCCACACGGTGACGTGCATGCGCCGATCGCCCCGCACGACGACCGGAGCGCCGCTTTTCCAAGTACTGGCGACGACGGAGGAAATTCGGTTTTGCAGAACAAGCAAGAGATGATGCTGATCAAAGACACCAGCATGATCGGGAACTACCCTGAACAAGATAGCAAAAGGATGAGCACCGAAATGGCCACTGCACTACCAACAACGCCTTCTCCCTCCAGCCCTAGCACCGACGACAGCAGCAAAAACGTCGACGCCGCGGACCCCTCAGCGACCGGAGGAGGAGACCAAGAACCCCCCGTCGCCAACCGGGCTGCGACGATCACAAGCAAAAACCGCGCTGACCTCCGCGTCGCTGGACAGGAGCAAAAGGACAGGGAACAGGAAAAAGAAATGTCGCAGCTCGTTTCATTCGTCCCGTCTGGTCAGGGGGAACAAGAGCATGTGTTGTACCAGGAAAACTACGGGGAGAGTACAACTGGTCATGAAAACTACCACCGTGGCTCGTCCAAGACGGAGGCGGTGAAGATCACCTCCGCGGCACGGCAGCCCGAAGGCGCGGAGGTGCAGATGCAGTACAAGAGCCCTGGCCACGAAAACGAACGTGACACGACTGGAGAACAAGAAGATCACGGTCAGTGAGGATCAACGAAAACATAAAGAAAGGACGGATTTCAGAAACAAATTTTTCAATTGTTGAGCGACGTATTACACGTTGCAAAACTAGTAAGTACTTAAATGGAAAAAGGACGTGTAGTTGTAGTTCCTTCCCAAGAAAAACCACAGTGAGGTTCTTCCTATCCACATCAATCCACTTCTGATGAAGAACTCCGCGGAGAACGACCATGTACCAACCAGAAAAACCAGAACTAAAAGTAGAACTACCCTGCTCTGCCTGAAAGGTGGATAGCTTGTACTGCATGATGTACGATTACCCGACCCTGTACCAACTTCAACCTCTGACCTCGACTTCGAGAATGAAGCTTACCCATTTTTAGAACATAAAAGAACGCGCATCAGGTGCGGACGCGTTATACGACTGAATTGAACTTGAAGTTCTTGTAGAAAAAGTACCGTTGTCTTGAAATTGATGATTTTTTCAGATTGCATATGCATAAAATGTACCAACAGCAACAAATTCAAATTCGAAGAATGCGTCGTGTATAGTTAAAATTGATGATGAAAGTAGAGGACGATTTCGATGTATGAACCCTGCCCGCTGTTTCCGTTTCCCAATCAATGTACCAAAACGAACTTCTAGCAAACACAAAGCTGAGCTCGTCTATTTACATACTTGTATTGAACTCCTCAAAGCAAGACAGAAAGAGATAGAGCTACAAAATCCAAAAAAGGCGCGGCTTCCTGTCGTCCAAAGGAGAGGCTGCTGAGGAAGCGCAGCCGCTAGTACTTATGGCAAAATTTACAAATTGACGCGTTGATTTGAAATTGCGCTGCACTCGTCTATCTTGTAAAAACTGTAACTGTTATTTTGAACTTGTACTTGATAAAAAACAAAATGATAGTTGAGGCCTGTTTTGCGTGGTGGGTGATACCCTCGTTTTATTTTTGTCCTCACATCACGATCACCGCCACTCGTGTTCGAAATTCAACTTTTTTATGGGAAGTCCCACGTCGATCCAAATGTTTTGGGTCCTGTATTTTTGCGGCGATTTTCCGCCTCTTAGGAAGTTAGTGCAGGCTTCATTGAACAAAAGCGAAGCACAAGCAAAAGCATAGTAAGTAGCCTTTTCTTTTTGCAGCGTGGCCGTACTTCTATCAGTAGGGCGCACCCGCGCTTGCGTGATCAGTTCGTCGAGTTCTCGTGAGAAGATGCGAAAATCAATGTCGCCGAGCCTTTGATTTTTATGCATCTGCAGCTTTTACTAGTAGACCGCTCTTCTTCTTTTCCCTGAAACGACAGTCCACTCTTGAGATTAGTGCGTCATTGCATCTCCGGTTTTACATTTAGGCTGATATTTATAAAATGCCTTCAAAACGACCGCCTGCGGCAGATTGTAGTAGACGCTAGCCCGGTGACGCCGGTGGAAGCTCGCTGAAAAAAGAGCATGTCTCGCTTGTGCAGCTCCAACCCCGTTCTAGCATCATCTGCTTCTGATCTAGAAGCTGGAACCTCCGCAGATGATGGAGTTCTTGCTGGCCGAGTAGGTGTACAGCAACCACGGCGGGAAAAATATCAAGAGCCCGCTGGAGCTGCTCACTGCGGTTCGGCAGCCTCGTCTGCGACGCCCGATGAGGTAGATTTCGATGCACCAAGCTCTTCTAGTCGTGATGAACGAACAAGTGGAGGAAGAAAGAGTAGGCCGCGTATACTGACCACTCGTGGAAGACGTCGGGGCAAAAACGGCAAAGTACTAAAGGCTTCGTCCGAAGGTACGATGTCATTGACCACCAGGAAGATGAAGAGGAAGTGGAAAATAAGAATAACCAGCACACCAGGAACCACTACACGGCGTGGCACAACTACTAGACCCTTCTTTATCTCAAAGCCTACCCACGACCTGGCACGCTGTCTGCTTTCCTCCCTGTCCCTCCTACCGGTTTTTCTTTTCTCCACGACGATATTTTCATCCCTGTTCGCTGATGGCCGGCTTGGGAGAAGGAGGAAAGTGCTTCCAGGTGCGAGATCTAGTACTGCAACTTCTTCGCAGGATGAAATAAGGACAAGAACCGCTGTTCTTGATGCGGCGGCAGCCACAATTCCTGCGCCACATGAAGATGGTCGTCGCGCAGGCCAACATCCCTCCGGAGAAGATGCACAGCGATCAGCACAGGTTTTGAGTAGCTACTTGCACGACAACGTAGCTAAAGTAGACCCTGCGTCATTAACTACAGCAACTCCACCAGGCCAAGGCGAGCGTTTGCCGTTGTCCGAAGATTTTTCTTCGACGTCCAGTATAAAGCTTCACAGCGCGCCGTGGTCGTCTCCTCAGCCGGCAAGAACTTCAACTCCCCTCAGCGACGACTTCGAAACTTTGAGTACCATTGCACCTTCCAGCACACAGAGTACCCCCATCGCGCGACAAGTAGCGCCAAGGATTGTAGGACTGGCAGGAAGTTCAAGTTCCTTTTCGACGTCTACCTCCGGGACGACTTCAGCCTTGTTTTCCGGATTTCCTTCATCTTCGGCCAGAAATGGCGTTGCTTCATCCTCCACCTCGCCAAGCTACGAATTTTTACCGGGTTCTTTCGGCACACCAACCCCATCACGCAGCCGAAGCGCCACGGAGGGTAGTGAAGGGCAACCGGGACGATTTGGTGTTGAGCACGAGGACGTACTCGACCAAAAGGGACAAGAATTATTTCATCACCTTTGGTCAGATACTAGTCCGGAGGAGGGAGATGAGGAAGTGGGGAGCTGCGACGGGGATGAACAGCAGGAAAGCAGTCGAAAGAGGAGAAGTACTACCACCGACGCTGCGTTTCGTTCGGCACTCGACAGTACAGTAGTGATCCCGTCCGCGGCTGCGGAGAGAGTCAGCAGACGCGCTTTTCCCGGTCGGGGACAACAACATCCGCAAGGAATAAGCGCTCTGGCTTTTGAGCACGACAAGGAGGATCTTGGAGCAGAAATAAAGCCGGAGATAGGGTTGCCGGAACGAGACTCAACATTCTCATCTGCGGCTTCATCGTCCCACAAGGACCAGCAACGGGTACCAGCACAACTACTCCCACCGGCGCTTCTTCCGTCTTACACCGTCGCTCGCTCAAGAGCCTTTTTCCCCTGGGGCCGGCGCACGATAGGGACCACGAGTGATGATTTCTTTTCAACAAGACGGACCTCATCTTCGACGTCCAGAAGTGGGGTGAATTATGCGGAAGGTGAAGCTGTTGTACACCATCAAGACGAGGAGGACCAGGAGAACACCACTAGTTTCAGTTCGACGCAGCCAGAGGACCTACATAGACACGACGATGACCAGACGAATGTGTTAAGGCGACGAAGAAGAAACACTGATGTTGTAAACGAAGAGCAAATCACGAATCGCATCACCGGCTGTACTGCACTAGATAGGGATGGTGCGGACACATCTTCTAATGGTCCTGTGTTGGCCCCCGCTGTACCAGTTTCAGCTCGTGGACAACGGCGTAGTAAAACTAATTCGTCCCTGTTTTCCTTGGAGCAGTCTACTTCCAAGCAGGAGCTGCAGCTGCAGAACATGACGGATTTTATTTCCATTGGGAACCTCGTGCAGAACCCAAGTCACCCTTTTCGCCTGTTTCCCAGCTTGTTCCTCTCCAATGTGGCCGCGGCTGGTGCTGCTAGCAGTGGCAGTGCTGCTAGAAGTGCAGCAGCTTCGTCGTCCAGTCCAAGAGCAGATCAAAAGGACCCGCCAAGTGCAAGTTCTGCTGCTCTTGCTGAAGCTGGTACGAGTTCATCTAGGTGCATCACAACAGAGGAACGGTCGAAGCCGAGTTATACCTGTGATCGCACTAAGGAGCGTGCTACAGCCGCAGCTTGCGGTTCACCTTCAACTACAGTAGACGAGGATGTGATTTTCTACGACGCAGTGACAGAACCAGATGATGCTGCGGACGCCGTAGACTCTTTAGAAGTACCACATGCTGTGTCACTACCAACTACTAGCGCGAGTGTTGGGACGAGGACCACCACTGACACAGGCAGCGAGAGGACGCAGCGAGAAGAATTAGGTGGAGAATCTTCGGAAGAACTAGACAGGCGACGACAGTTACAAGAAGAAGTAGATGAAAAACTTTCCTCATCTCCTGGTGAAGATATTATCAATTCGGAGGCCGTCTTCTTCAATGACGAGCGAACGGATCTCTCTCAGTCTCCCCTTCCCAGCTCAAAATCGTCCAGCAACAGTTTGTATGAGGAGTTGGATTGTGAGCTGCAATATGAACTGCAAAAGTATCGTACTCGTATAAATGCATTACAAATTTCCTCAGCATGAGGAATAAGATTTGCAATGCGGATTTGCCTTAAGAAGAAGATTTTTGATGCAAGACTTGCATTTATACGAAGGAATGCGATACTTTTGCACAGGATATGCAAAAAAAACTGGAGCAGCAGCTCGAGGACTGGAGAGACCAGACGCTTTTCGAAGAATTTCAAGAAGGGCTAGTGCTTGCCGAGGGAACGGGAAGGATAACGCAAAAACAAAGAGAAAGCTGTGCGACGAAGTTGTCACGCGGCGAGGACAGAAAGGTGGGCTATTCCGATCTAGTCCTTGGGCCGCAGCTGTGCGGGGCGAGTACTGGTGCTGGGGTGGAAATGGGTCGACGTTTAGAAGGTGTGTCTGGTTCAACAGCAGCAGCAAGAGCAACATCAACCAAAAACGAAGACGACACGACGACTACTTCAGCTGAACAGGATGACTCACTGCCGCACGACGACAAGTCCCCGCCGCGCAAGGCTTCTCCGCCGTCGGCGGAAGAGCAAAGGCTATTAAAGCTGTGGCAAACCATCTACTGTCCGTCCCCGTTGTTTTTTCGACAAAACACATCAGCCTGCGCGGAGGTCACAGCTGCGCTGCATCAAAAGTCATCTCAGACAGATCATGAAAGAGCAGGCTCTGGTGGCTCTAGATCATCCCCCTCCTCAGCGTCGACCTGTGATGTTAGTGGTTCAAGCGGAAGCTCGCGTGAACAGGCAGGAACGACAAGTACTAGAGAGCACCCAGCGAAGGCTTATTCGGAATCGGAGGTGCAGGAAAAACAAAGTTTGTTTGATGCCGACGTACCAATGAAAGTAGGGCAAGTAGAAGAAGGACGACAGCCACCACCAGCACCATCAACAGCACAGCCGCAGCGCAGCGCCTGTGAAAAGACCACAGCGTCCTCTTCTCAAAGACCACCGCAGGAGAAGATCTTGCCATGCCAACACCGCTACATGTCGGAAGCGTTTGAAAAGTCGAAGCAGTTGAAGATTTTCCTGACCCGCATGGCAAATCGCCTCCGCATGTGGCACTTTCTCGGTCTCCAGGCGACTGTAAACGAGAACGATGTATGCCCGATCTGCTTGGAACCGGTGCTGATAAGCCGCGGCGGTGGGAAGATGCAGAAGGATAAGACGCATGACAAAGTGACAGACTCTTCCTCATGCAGCAATGGTGCCGAGGATGATATCTCCGAGCTTCTCGTGTCGTGTGCCTCCAGACCGGTCGCGCACGTGATGCACGCCAGCTGCTATGTGCAGCATGGGTACGAGCTCGGGGGCAAAAAACAACTCTACCGGAAACGGAGTCGTCGGTTTCTCCGGGACTGCCCGGTCTGTCGCGAGTCGAAGTTCCCGCGGATGAGAGGACGCGTACGAGAAAATGACGTGGCAAATAAAGCCGGTCCACACATCTTTAATGATGCGAAGGTGCCTGCTGACGACAGCGAGGACAAGAAAAAGACTTCTCTATCAAGAACCTCAGAAAGAGAAAGAAGGTCGGAGGTGCAAGAAAACCTTAACACCAGCACGGAGAAGAATAACCAGGCCGCCAATAGTTGTGTCTTCGAGTCCGACTCGAGTTTGCTAACCGCGGCGTTGAAACGGGCTCTGTGTTGCAATCGGCGGGTGGCTCTGTCAAATTTCGAGAAGAAAAAGCTGCTGCTGCTGCAGCAAGCAAGGCTGGAGAAGGAGCAGGCGCAAGCAAAGCTGGCAAGGGACGAGCGGGCGGTGAAACAAGAAAAGGAACTACACGAAGATCATACTGATGCTCTTTCGTCGGAGCGAGAGCGTGATCTTGAGAACCGCCCCGCTTCAGCCTCCTTTTCGTCCCGGTTATTTTCGCCCAATAATTATGCGAGCAATGTGTGGCGCCTGAGCAGCAGCGCAGCTAGCAGCTCTGGATCTGCAGCTACAACAACCTCCGCGATGAACAACGTCGAACTGGATCCACCAGCATCCGAAACCATCCTCCTCCGCACCCGCAGCACCGCCGCTGAAGAAGTGGCGACGCGGTGGAATAACGTGATGGAGGTGTTTCGCAACGCACTCTCGACAATTGCTATCCAAGAAAAAAACTGTGTTAGTGTAAACTTTCTTTGGCTGACAGCATCTGCTCTACATGACAGAGAAAACCTGTCATGCGTGGCTTACAAGGGAAAACACACAGGAAAAGAAGACCGCATGGTTGTCTGGCATGACAGGTGTAAACAGTTTTGCATTTTCTGCATTACAGAGCTACACTTAGACAGTTTTTTTCTTGCATAATTGCGGACGAAGACAGCGAAGACGAGGATAGCTGGCTGGAAAGCTGGAGCTCCTTTCTCGACGTCGTTCCGCTGGTATGACAGTGCACGACTCCCGCTCGTCCCCCTCATTTGTCATGCAAAATACCGAATCGTCCACATCTTGCGCTTGCCTTTAAGCACTCTGCGCATGACAAGTTTTGGACGCCCAAACGCCCAAACAGGACTACATTCCACATTTACGGACTTGTCATACGAAAGCTACGTTTGTGGCATTGCTTCTGTTCCTGTTGCTGCTCATGCTACAGTACAAATGAGGAGGAGGGGGAGTTGTGCACTCTCATAGCTGGCGCCTGCTGCTGCTCCGAGCGAGGGAACAAGATCTACAGTCCGCGGAGGTGCAACGGCGAATGTAATGCCATCGAATAACTTGTTGAACTACAATTTGAATGATTTGGTTTTTCAGCAACTGCAGGACAGTCTTCTAAACCACAATCGTAACGACCACACTAACATAAACATGCCAACGAACGCAGCTGACTTGGACGAAACCGCCGGGATTTGGGGCGGTTTGGCCCTGATGCCGTTCGCGGACGCGATTTCTAATCGAGGGACAGCACAGGAACAGGACATGCCGTGGTACCAATTCGGCGGCCCGCCGGTGCCATATCCTGTGCAAAAGTATCGTACTCGTATTGCAGTCATGCATTACAAATTTTTTTCTGAAGCTAAATCCGCATATAGATTTCTCATGCTGAGGAAATTTCTAATGCATTTATACGAGTGTATCGAAGAAAAAAACACCATCACAGTCACAAAATTCAAATTTTCAAAATTTTGCAGGAGCTGAACAAAAAATTATTTTGATTTTCAGGTAAGAAAATACTTTTCAATTCTCGAATGCGAATGTATTTATTTTTGTGTTAGCTATTTGGTTATGTCAAAAATGGCGGTTTGAATAAGCTAGTTAAGAAAGAGTTCTGAAGACAAACGATCAGCTTCCAGCAGACGAAGCTTGGTAGATGGGGTTGTCGCCCTCGTCTGGCCCCAGGTGGGGCCAGAGGGCGACAACCCACACTACCACTGTTCGTCTGCTGGAAGCTGAACGATTGTCTTCAGAAATCTCTCTTCTTAACTAGCTAGCTTACCATGCGAGCTTAACTTAATCATGCGAGCTGCTTCGGCAGTTTTTACCGTCCTCTTGCTATCACAATCACTCCCTTTGGCTGCAGCGGATGTCGTGCAGTCGATCGTGGACCATAATGCAGAGGCTTTCAGCCCCGAAACCAATGCGGCTGGCGGAACGGCGAAAGGTATCTACTTATATTGCTTTTTTAACAACGGGCTCATTTGGTGCTTGCGCCTCGAGGTCTCTTGGTGCTTGCACCTCGGGGTTTAGGGTCGGAACGTTCCCAGCACCGCTGGAAGCACTGAACCTGAAGGGCGTGCACGCCTGGAAGGATCCGAGCATGGCGCTTTACTAGCGCCTTTTCAACGTTTACCTTCATCCTCCTTTTTGTTTCTGCTGTTTTCCTTTTCTCGGGCCCTACTGGCACCAAGCAGTTTCTTTCTGCGGCTCCCGCCCTTCCTGCTGTCGGTTTTGTCCTATTTTAGTTTTTTTCATATGTGCACATGACGATGTGTACATGATCATGCGTACCGCGGCCTTCTCCTTTTTCTGCACGGGCAGCTTCCCTCCAACACATCTCCCCTCCACGTCTCCGTCACGTCCCGGATGCCGACCCGGTCCAGCAGCCGACGCAGGGGTTTTAGGGTTTAGGCTTTTAGGGTTCTCCTATTTTGATCTTAACTAGCTAGCTTACCGCCAATAGCCAATATCATAAATCATCTGCTTCAAAACTCAACATTCAAAACCAGATACAACAGGTTCGGGAGTGCCGCGAAAGTCCAACGAAATTTTAATTTTGATGGTCAAAAATTTTGAAAATTTGAATTTTGTGATTGTGATGGTGTTTTTTTCTTCGATAGAGTGCGATACTTTTGCAATGCATATGCCACGACCGGCGCAACAAGGTGCTGGTGGTTCCACCACTGTAGTTCCCCCAAACCGACCAGTGACTTTGACCACAACCAATCTTCCGGATGACCAAGAACACAATTCCTCCTCGTGGAGCTACACCCAGGTCAGGCGAGGCTTGTTGAACCGGCTAGGATTTAGCCGTGGCAATGTCAATGCTGCTCAGGTAGAGGATGAAGCTAGAAGTACGGCTAGCAGTACAACTCGGAACGAGCGGAGACGAGCAGGCAGTTCGCCGGAAGTAGATGGACCTGCTCCCTCTCATCGCGAACTCATTATGCTACTCAACTTGAACCACGGCACTGCTGCGGCGGGGACAGGAGTTGCACCAAGCGACAGCCCGAGAAACTACTACCAAAATGAAAATGTTTTTGACTCTGCATCTTCTGCTGCTTCTCCGCACCCACTGCAGCCGATGCCAATTCCGGTCCGGGTCCGGTTGGAACATGCCTTGGTTCCGGATGACGTGTTATGCTCTGCAAAAATGTGGCGCTCGTAGTACTTACTCGTTGCAATTCTGCATTGCAAATCGTATTCAGATAGGAAAATCAGCAAGACAAACTCCGATTGGTTTTTGAAAAAGTTTGTCATGCGATGTTTACTAGCTGCGATATTTTTGCAATGCATACGTACGAGCCCTGATCCAGGAAATTCATTCCGATGACGTGCGGTATCTCTGGCTCGCAGTGGAGGAAGCGCCAATGGTGTCGGTCGGATGCCTGGCGTTTTTGACGGTCCTACTAGAAAAAGCGTGGAGCCCGATGTAGGAAAATGTGACTGAGAAAACTTCTGGTCTCATGAAAACAACGACCCGGAAAGAACTCAAACTCTGTCTGTACTAAGGTGATACATATGTTTGTTGACATAGCCTTCTGATGATGCTTCATCATGCATGGCATATTGATCTGCTCCGAGCCGGAAAATGATTTTCGTGAGGACGAGGATGTTTTTCCATAGCATACGCCATTCGAATGGTTTACCAACCCACCTGCCGGCGCGGTGTGAAGGAACAAGCACGCGCGATGCAACCGCGTGAAGTGCTGCCGGTTGTACGAAAATAGGAACATTGTTTCATGGGGAATAAAAGGGGAGTTGTCATTGAGAGTAGTTTCTATCAAGAATAAATGCGCAATAATGTTGCTGCGACCACTACAAGAACTTGCTGTTTCAAACATGACACATAACACATATTGTGTAGACATAGATTTCAATTTCTGGCGTTTTGATCGACTTTGACAGTTTTTAAAAGAGTTAGCGTACGAGATCAACAACGCGATTGGATGAAGCATGGAAAATACTTAAAATGTACGACTGAAGTAGAGATACCAGTCTCAATTGCAATTGCAAATCGAAATCTGGATACATAGGTAGCACGACCAGTAAGACCACGAGGCTATCGAATGATTTAGATTTTGTTTTGTGTCGTTCCTGCCATCATGCTAGTTTTTTGATACGTCCGCAAAAAATATTTCTGGTGCTGCAAAAAGGAAAACGCTGGCACTGCTTCAGAATGGTTAATACAGTATGTAAAACCTCCACTGGTTCTCCTTCCTATCCCCGCGTCCTCTTCACAATATCTCCATAAGCTTGGCGCTCTGGGAAAAGGATGTAACTGACCAGTCTGAATGTCCATCATCTGGATGATCGATTGATAGATTTACAAATGCATCAATTCAATATCCCCCAGCCCTGCATCGGGCTTGCATAAAAGTGCACGTGGTCGTGTATATCGCGTTGGATCTTTCGTTTCTTCAGCATAGGCTGGCAGGAGTGTTTCAAAAGGTTTTTGCTCCTATTAGGACGGATGTAGTCGTGTTCCAATTCTACCTAATAGAGCGTCTCTGTTTCTTCAAAAACGAGGGAGTTGTACTAGTGAGCCACGGAAAAAGACTATCGAGTGGGACAGATAAATCAAAATTTTTGCCGCTTCTTCCAAGCGAGCCATTTCTTTGAGTGGGCGATGAAGTTAGTATAGTGGTCCTACCAAGCAGATAAACTCCTTCAAAACGACATCAGAGCTGTATCTTGTCGAAAAAGTAGAATCCATCCGCTGCTGAAGCTAGAGCTACTCGTAACAGAAAACTACCTCACAAGATGTTTTGCGGTGGTGCCTCCGGTCCATATACGACGGATTTGCCGCAGCCAAAGCCGTGTCGCGAAGGCTGGAAGCAGACGGTCGATCGCCAGCCGCCGTATGGTGTGTACCAACCGGGGACGGCAAACAAGGACCTGGGGGTACGGAAATGGAAAAACATAGAACAGAAGCCGTCATGTGTTGTCATGCAGGTGTCTGCAGCAGTGTTACGTTTTGTCATGCAGGGACTGCATTTGATTTCGATGCTTCTTGACAAGACTTTTCACTCCATACTCTCTCGGTCCCATCCTGTACAACAGCGCGTACAAGGACACATGGAAGTTGCCGACAGGTATCAGATAGATCATGAACTACCCGATCTTCACACTGAAAAGCTGTCATGCGGAAACAGCATGTTGCAAAGATCTTGTGATCTTCATGTTGAAGATCCACTAGCTGCAAAATTAAGTAAGGTAACTAGCATCACATCGAAATCACTATATCAGGCCCCGTCTCCGGCCACAAGAATATCATCGAGTGCTGGCACAACGCCTGCCTGGACTTATGAACTGCAAAAGCATCGTACTAGTATAAGTCGCATGACAAATTTCCACAGCATGAGAAATAAAATTTGTAATGCGGATTTAACTTCAGAGAGAAACTTGTAATGCATGACTGCGATTACTACGAGTACGATACTTTTGCAATGCATAGGACGGCAAGGACGGCAACGCCATGGGGTATATGCAGTGCAAATATGTCTAGGTTATTTGGAAGGTTGCGCACTTGTCAAGCTTAGTCCGGATCGTATAAAAATTTGTGTTGCAGGATTGCCAAATGTTGTTCACTTTTGACCAAGTTGGGAGAGCTTTTCTCATGCAGGATAGGCATGATCACAGAGGTCTCGCAGAGTCTGTCATGCTAGGTCCTGCATTGCAGCCTGTCATGGGTTATGGACAACCTGCATGACAAGTCTCGCAACCTGCAGACCCAGACATATTTGCATTTGATAGGCTACCGCAAGCTGATCGACATCGTGTACGAAAAGGACCCGATATGCGAAGAAAAAAGTGTTACCGTTACACATTGTGTTGCAGGCCAAGCAAGACAGACAATCTCTGTCATGCCGGATATGCATCATGGGAGCCTAGTTTGTTCATAGATACGCGTTTTCCCTTGTTATGATCTCTGCATTGCAAGCTTTTCCTCTCATGCAGAGAAATAAATCTGTGTTGCTAAATTGTTGACAACAAATGTGTAATTGTAAAACACTTTCTTCCTTGGATACCCAAAGGACGGCAAAGAATACGAAAAGCTGCACCTCGCGAACGAGCTCACCTACGTCACCTACACGCAGTTGCTCGACCGTGTGAAATATCAAGTGCAAAAGTATCGCACTCGTATAAATGCATTACAAATTTTCCCAGCATGAGAAATGAAATTTGTAATGCGGATTTCCCTTAACGCCTAAATTTGTAATGCATAACTGCAATTGGTACGAGTGCGATACTTTTGCACAGGACATGAAGGCCTTCACCATGGGTTTGAAGGACTTCACTGGTGAGGACTTCTTCGCGAACAAAAACTCCCGCGGCGTCATTTTATGAGAGTGCACAACCCCCCCTCACGACCCTCATTTCTAATGCAAAATACCGAACCCACCTCTTGCCTCTAAGCACTGTACGCATGACAAGTTTTGGACGCCCAATCAGGACTACAATCCATGTCCGGATTTATTGTCATGCAAAAGCTACATTCATCCTCATCGTGGCATTCGCATTCCTTCTGTTGCTGCTCATGCTATACAAATGCGGGGGACGGGGAGTTGTGCACTGTCATACACTTTCGCGGACACGCAGATGGACTGGATGTGCTCCGTATGGATTGCAAAACTGTCTGGGTCTGGAAGATTGCAACTTGTCATGGTAAATCTGAAGCATGCAAAAATCTGTGTTGCATGAGTGCCAAAAGCTGCAAACTTTTGAACGAGTTGGAAGGAAGTTTCTCATGCAGGATAGGCATGGCAGAGACCTCGCAGAGTCTGTCATGCTAAGTCCCGCATTCCAGACCTCATGGGTCATGGAAAATCTGCATGGCAAGTCCGCAGCTTACTTTCCAGACCCAGACACTTTTATTTTTGATACTCCGCGCTCGGGTTCTTTTCCCAGGCACTCCCGATCGTGACGGTTTACTCGACTTTGGGGGAGGAGGGACTGAAGTTCGCGCTGACGCAAACCTCCGCGGAATTCGTCGTCACCGACGCGAAACTGGCCAAGGTGCTGGCCAAGGTGCTGCCCTCGGTGAAATCCACGATGAAGTACGTGGTTTTACTCGGCGACGCGAAGAAGTACTGCAGTGCGGAGGTCATTATCAACTGCAAATATGTCCGGGTCTGAAAACTTGGCATGCATGTCAGTGAAAAATAAGCACACTGCAATGCACCGCCAAGCATGACAGATTTTTTCGTGGCTCCTCTGTGTTGTGGATTCTGCATGAGATGAAGCTGCGTTTTTGGATGGCAGACGCAAGGAGCTGCTCTACTTCGTGGCCCCGCAATGCAGATCTCGGAGTCATGCCAGACTAGCATGACACTCTTGCTCTTCTAGACCCTGACATATTGGCAGTTGATAGTCATGAAGACGTTATCCGAAAACGTCAAAGTCGGAATTTTCAACGAACTGGTAGAGATCGGTGCGCCAAAGATCATATGCAAATTGCAAAAGTATCGTACTAGTAGGAATTATTGCATATACAAATTTTATTCTCAGAAATAACACAAATGGAATTTGTGATACTGATTCAGCTACTAAAGTAGATTTGTCATGCGAGGCTGCAATTTTTACTACGAGTATCTGATACTGTTGCAGTGCATAGATCAGCGAATGGGCGATTAAACCGGTGAGTTTGGAGGAAACGGCAGTGATCATGTACACCTCGGGGACCACCGGGAATCCGAAGGGCGTCGTCATCTCGCACGGCAATGTCGCTGCTCTAATTGCGGCGGGGGAGCAGGTCTTCGCGGGGATGGTGGAAGCGGGGGATACGGTGCTGGCGTACTTGCCCTTGGCGCACATCATGGAGATCGCGAGTAGAATGGAAGTGATGGCTTCACCTGCTATGCTCGGCATGCATAATTTGCATATTACAATACTGGCAGATCATGTTCCTTTACTTCTGTCCCAATAAGTCTGGTGTACTATAAATGCGAGAAACGCATCAAATAAACCAAAAGGTGAAGTGACCTGTATGTCGACCGGAGTGACGCTCTGCTACGCGAACCCGCACACATTATCCGCGACCGGTGTGAAGCTGAAAATACCGGAATCGAAGGGAGACTTCGAGGTTTCGAGGCCGCACAGCCTGCTGTTTGCGCCAGCGGTGTTGGAAAAAGCGTACAACGGGTTGAACTTGCTCTTTGCGAGTGGGATTAAGAAGAAGATTTTCGACGGTATACATAGTGTAGTTAGATAGTCGTGTAGTTTGTAATGCGACAACACACGACCATGGATGTTGCGCGTCTGATTTAAGTATTTCCTTTTCAGTTTTCTGTCATGCATACCGCACTAGCTACAAATCACTGCATATTACCGTTGTGGATGATTTAGATTCGCATTACAACGAACAGCCGCCGTCCGCAACGGGAAAGCGAAGTTCCAAGCCTCCGGCGTGACCCGCGACGAGTGCTTATCCTAATGAAAAACGTCCCCACCCCAGAGTCAAGATGGGGATTTTGCAACACAAACGTTGGAGTTTTGGGAGCCACGCATGACAAATTGCTAGCTGTAGTGTAGTGCAGTTTAGAAAGGGAAGTCGCATTACAAATCCATCTGCTTATCCTGTTTACAGCATTACAAGTTCCAAAACACGATCGGAATTGCCTATCATGGGGATGCGCATTACAAATGCTCTTGCGCTTGCAGATCTGCATGACAACTCTGGGGTGGGGACGTTTTTACATAGGATAGTGCTACTTGGGTACCACCGGCTGCTTTCCCAACATTGTCTGCAAGAAGATCCGGGCCCGGTTCGGCGGCCGACTGAAGGCGGTGTTGACCGGTTCTGCCCCGTTATCGAAGGACTTGATGTGCTTTTTCCAGACGATTTTGGGGATTCCGGTGCGACAGGGATACGGATTGACGGAAACGTGTGCGGTGTCGTGCATCGCCTTCTGGTGCGACAACACGCCCGCGAGCGTCGGGCCGCCAGCGATGGCGTCGGTATAATGATGGTGTGAGTTGTTGTAATGCAGAATCAGAATCTCGGTCTGTGTTTGTCATGCGGGAATGAGACTAGGTATTGAAGGCGTGTCATACTCAACTACATGCAAAATAAGGTCATCCGGCTCCGTGACTGGGAGGAGGGCAACTACAAAACGTCCGACGAGCAGGACCCAAATATCGGCAAACCGCGGGGGGAGGTGTTAATTGGCGGTCCGATGGTTACGCAGGGGTACTTCATCAAAAACCCATCCGATCCGGACGAAGAGGACCAGGCCTTGATGTATGACTCGCTCAAACGTTACAATCTCAAACGTTACAATAGAGTCTGGAATTTGTGTTGCATGATGAGCATGACAGACTCGCACAGCGTTCCACCTTTTGCAATAGAAACTTTGCCAGATTGTAGGGGGGTTTGGGGCTCAGGAACTTGTCATGCGCAATCCTATGAGAGTTGATGGCGAGAGGACTATGCACTCTTGCGTCACAGATTTCCATACTCTATTCGTAACGTTTGAGATTGCAACACCTGAGCGGGTTACATGATGCAGAAAAACAAGGAGGAATACCTGGAGGTCGACGGATACCGGTGGTTATCGTGTGCAAAAGCATCGTACTCGTACTAATCGCAGTCATGCAAAACAAATTTCATTTTCAAGCTAAATCAGCATGACAAATTCCGTTGGTCATGCTGAGCTAATTTGTGTTGCAATACTACGAGTACGATACTTTTGCAGTTCATAGTGGTTTTGCTCCGGCGATATTGGCCAGATCTCCCAGCACGGGACCTTGCAAATCGTGGACAGGAAGAAGGTACTTACTCAATCGATACTACAGATTTTTTGAATTTTGCCTGGTTGTAGTACACGCGATGGCGCAACTACTCCGCATGAGAGTAGTACTTCCGATGCTGTGCCGCTCCAGGGCGCCGTAGAAACGATGCTCGCGGGGACCCTGATCTTCCTCCCGGGAGTGGAAATTATTGCGGAATTTTTAGAGGAGATTTTTGATGAAAGTGGGCGAGTAAGCGAAAGCAGACTGCAGGCAGCAGAGGCGAAAATGAGAACAAGAGTAAAGCGACTATACAAAGGGGGGGATGTCGACACGACGTTCCCGGACTACGACTACAGGACAGAAGTGGACGAAATCTATCACGAAGAAGCCTCGCCGGCGGAAACGGGTTACAGGAGGGGAGAAAAGGTGACAACGGGAAAGGAAAAAGGGGGTAAAGACAGGGAGAAGAAAAAAACAGAAACAAGATACTATACGGGAGTCTTGCGGGGCGTCAGCAATAAAAAGTGGACGCTTTGTGTCCAATATGTCGATGGCGGCACCCTAGTGGTGAAGTTTTACATAGAGGATATAAAACCTATAGTGAGGGCATTAAAAGCAGCAAGCTGGGCATGCGAGGAGATCTATGCAACGGAGGGCCAGTTTTTGGCGCCACAGAAGTGCGAGTTAGCAACATCCATAGGGGGCGCGAAACTGGTTAACCTGCTCCGGCAAGCATTCCAGCCATTCGGAATACTATACGAGGAGAAGAGCTTCCTCAAGATTCTGGGCATCAAAATAGTGCCGCAAGACAAAGAAGAGCAGGCGAAAGTCCTGCAGGGGCAGGTGAGGCAAAGTATAGGGATCGGCCAGCGCCTGGCGTGCCAGGTGATGATGCGAAGAAGGGGGCTGAGCGGAGAGGAATTGACTTGGGTGGTGCAGGTGTTTTTCGTCTCGGCAATGATTTACTATCTTCCAGTAATGCGTCGCTTCTTCGAAGTAAAAAAATGGGCAGAATTAATGGGAGAGATGGCGCTGACAATAGCAGAAACAATGGGGATGACAATGGAGGTCGTGGAGGAAAATAATGAAAAGAACAGGAGCAGAAGCAGAGACGTTTTACAGGGTGGTCTTTGGCATGAACATGCTAGGGCTCGCGGATCCGTACACGATGGGGCTGAAAACGTTGCGGGCAACAGCGCAGGCCAACTACCTGACGGGCCCAAGTATTTTTGCGCCTCTAGCGACGACACCAGTAAAGGTAGTGGGACAATCGAATGCGGGTATATCCAAAACAGATGAGCGCCAGATACTGAAAAGAAAAGAAGCAGGCCTCGCGCTCCTGCAGGCGCTTAGCGACGGGGCAAAAGTGAGGCTATCGCCTGGGAGCGACTTGCGAGCGTGTGGAATAGTAAAGCAGCGTAGCGCAGTAGGGAAACTGAGGACGGCGAGCCAATATACACACCGAGGCGACGCGAGCCTTATGGTTGATCGGGAAAGGCAGGGGGGATACGGAAAAAAGGGGCAAGCAGATAAAAAGCAAAAAATATGGGTGAAGCATTCGGAAAAGGCGGGCACGACGATAGTAACAATACAAGAGGAAAGCTCGAGAGCCGAGGCACACCTGTGGAAAATAGAAACAAAGGGGAGCCGCCTGAAGTCGGAAGTAAGAGAAGAAGAGAGGAGCTTCGTGGCGTATTGCAATAATGCAATAAGAACAATCGAGAAGGTGAGGGAGAGAAGAATAGGCAAACAAGGTAGGACAGAAATAATGCCACTGGACTATAACGAACTAAGGGAAAAGACGAGCGGCCTGCTGCGCAAAGGAAATGGCATAGGGCTGGAGCTACGAGAAACGATCGAAAAGGCAGAAAGCGAGGATGCAGGGCTGACAGTCGAAAAGAGAAGAGGAAACGGAAGGAGGACGGAGGCGAAAAGGGATATAGAGAAGGAGATAACGGAACTGATCCCGCTTCGAGTAGCGAATGTGTTGAATCATGACAATGAATACACATGCTGGATTCGATTCGATTTTGGGAAAAAGTGTATAGGTATGGACCCTGTATGGGAGTGGCCGGAAAGGTCAAAAATAAAAAGGCAGGCTTGCATCCACAGGAAAATATTAGGCGAGAGCAAGAAAGAAGAGAGAGAAAACGACAACGGAGAAGGTAACAAGGAGAAGGAAAAAGCAGGGGGCGAGGGAATGATGGAAAAAAGGGACAAGAAGAAGGGAAGAGGTGGAGAAAACGAGAATCGGGCCGCGAACGCGGGAGCGAGTTCGTCGGGGAGCAGCCAGGTAAATGCAAGAGGAAAACAGAAAAAAAAAAAAGAAGAAAGAGAAGAAAAATCGGACGAAACCCTTTCAGAAACGATTCCCAGATTGATAGAAAAAGAGAAGAAGGCAGCGGACCAAGGAGGGGAGGAAATGAAGCAGAGGGCTCTGGGAATAATCGAGAAGGCGACGCGACTCTTGAAAGAGGCCGAGGGATTAGACCACGACCGGGGAGAAGAGAAGAGCACAGGAATGGAAATTGATGGAGACGCAGAAAGCGCAGACGAGGGTGGAGAAATGGAAGTCGAAACGAAAAAAGAATCGGACGGGGGAGGCGAATTCTACAAGGCAGAGGCAGATACATACGAAGGCACACGGCGCGGATACGTTTTCAAATTAGGGAAAGCGGGGCAAGGGTATTACAAGGACAGGGGACCCGAGGAAGCCACCCGCGTCTTCTTTAGCTGCTGCGTAGGCTGGGGGGAGGATGAAAAAAGGGAGGAAGCAAGAAGAAAGAGAGCAGAGCCGGCCTCAGACCCACAAATAGAAGAGGCGCCACGAAAAAGGCAACACAGAAAAGACGAAGAGGCGACTAACACAACAAAAAACGACGAGCGAGGAGAAAAGGAAGAAAGAAAAAAAGAAGAAAAAAAATTTCCGACACTGGAGGAACTACTGGGCGACGACTTTGAAACAAAGGAGGAGGAAGAGCAACAGCAAGAAGAAAGAAGAAAGAGAGAGGAGGAGAGGAAAAGGAGGAGGCAGGCGAAATATGAAACCCCTCTGCAAGAAGAACTGGCGAAAATGTTCAGGAGTTTAGACTAAGAAGGTAGAAGATAGGTAGTACGATCGAGGTTGATGCGATGAGAATTCAGACAATGAACACAGTGAAGGCATGTTGCGCAAATTTAATACGTTGAAGAAACACATAAAAAAAACTGTAAGGGAAAGGGTGGGCCGCTCTCGAAGCAAAAAAAAAAATATAAACGAGGTGGGGGGTGTTCTGGCGGATGCGGAGGGAGGAGTGGAAACGGAAAGAGTATATACGAAAAAGCGAAATAATTCGTAAAAGATGGCACCAACGTCCCGCGCGTCTCATCTCGTCCCCGCCAGCCCAGGAGGCACGGCGCTGCTTGTCATCTCGTCCACGCTGGCCGCTTAGCCGCGGCCCGGCGCTGCTATCCCGCTGTAGAGAGCTAGTCGAAAAGAAGAAAATATATCAAAGTGGTGACAGGGTTGCTATTTTAAAAGTCTGTGCTAAAGCAGCGCCCCCCTTCCCCAAGGGGCCCCCTCGGGGCGGGCGCGATGGCGGCTCTGAGTAGGCGGAGCCCTGGGGCCCGATTCTTCGAAAACGCATGAAAAAGGTGCGCGGACTAAGGTCGGCTGAAGTGCTCGAAAGGGGTACGCTTCGGAGTTGTCCGTCATCGTAATAGGGTCATCGGGTATGATCGATAGACCCCCAGTATACGTACTAGCGCACAGCCGGCCACAAATGTAAGTTTGCGATCAAGTTTGTAAGACTAACCCATCAAGGCCACGCCGAGTTTCCACCTTGCTCGCGGGCTTGGATGGTAAGGGGGTTCTGCCACAAGTAGCGCCCACTGGTTGTAGTTACGCGTAAGCAATCGATAACGGTTCTGCGGCTGCGGCCGGGTGGTAGTTAGGAAGTGGATCGGGTATCCACCTAGGGGTATTGGCAGAGGCTAAATCTGTTCTAGCGCCCAGGTATTGGCAGAGGCTAAATCTGTTCTAACGCCAACCCGCCAGGAGTTAAATGGTTACTACTACTACGATGCTGTGCCGCTCCAGCTTATTTTGCGGCACATCATCAAAACCGGTGTTGCAGCTGCGAACCAATTTCGTTCATGACTTCTACAGGATCTGTGGAAGTATGCATTGCAAAAGCATCGTACTAGTATAAATCGCATGACAAATTGACTTAGCATTACAAATGAAATTTGTAATGCGGATTTGCCTCAAGAAAAAGATTTGTAATGCATAACTGCAATTAGAAGTACGAGTACGATAGTTTTGCAGTTCATAGGAAGGGTCCGAACGGGGAGTACGTCGCTCTTTCCAAAGTCGAATCCGCGTATGAAAGTGCACAACTCCACCCCCTCCCCCTCATTTGTAAAGCAGGAACAGCATTAGAAGCATCAGCAGTAGCGCAGGTTCTGCATGACAAATCTGTACTTAGAGGATTACTGTGCTGTTCCAGCTGCCAGAACTTGTCATGCATAATAGTGACAGGAGGCAAGGCGTGAATTAGGTATTTTGCATGAGAAATGAGAACGAGGGGGAGTTGTGCAGTTTCATACCGCGTGCAAGCTCAGCCCCTACATCGACCAGTGCTGCGCGTACGGGAAAACCGGCGCGGCAACCCACATTCTGCTGGTCGTCGCGAACGATGTGAAGCTGAAGGAGCTGGGGAAGGAGCTGGGGCAGGGCGACGGTGATTTGGCGAAAATCAGAACCAATCCGGCGGTGATTAACGCGGTGTATGGTTCTATGAAGGACTACTGCAAACAGTCCAAGATCCTCCCCTTCGAAACCCCGGCGAAGTTGCGGATTGTCGACATCGTCTGGACACCCGAGAACGAAATGCTGACTGCCGCGATGTATCCTGTGCAAAAGCATCGTACGCGTAGTAATCGCAGTCATGCATTACAAATCTCGATCCCAAGGTAAAACAGCATGACAAACTCCATTTCTCATGCTGAGTGAATTTGTCATGCGATTTCTACTAGTGCGATACCTTTGCAATGCATACGATGAAGATGAAGCGACCCCAGATCCAGAAACAGCACCAGGACTTGTTGGACGAGATGTATTCGGCGTGAAATCTTGATCTTGTTGAAAAATGATGACTGGTTGGGGGGCGGAGTAGGAGGTTTTTGGTCGAAATTAGAAGTAGACTAGAATTACTGTGATTCGTTGGCAAGGAGCGGCTGCTCACTTGCTGTACAAGTCGGAGATAAATTGCAGACTTTTTCAACTACAGAATAAAAATGAAAGGCGAAGTATAAAAATCTGGTGATGGTTGGTCACGGTGTTTGGAGTTTACACTACTTACACGTGGTTTTGGTTTCGTGATTTCCGAGAAGGCGAGTTGGAGTATAATCGGAATCTGGATCATCTTTCAAGTAGATGAATTGGGACGAGTTTTACTTCTAGAAGAAGAAGACTCCACACCACTACAAGGACACACCTGTACATCATGTATCTGGAAATGAACCACCACTCCTGCTAGTAGTAACTAGAGGACCGAATTCGGAACTACCATTGGAGAATTCGCTTTCGCTACATCTAAATGCATGTTGACATTTCTCACGAATTAAAAAAAAAACCCTCCACAACATGATGAAAAGCAAGAAACTGTGCATATCATACGATAAAAAACTACAGCAACAGAACACCGCTGGTTGCCGTACCAAAAGAGAAAACCGTAATTGCCTTTTTTTCTTGCTCCCCCTTACAATACAAAAGCAAAGCTGCCCCTCAGCTATGTCAGAAAATCCACAATTCTACTCGTACCAGCGTGCTGCTGTACTAGTGTGCTAAAAAGGAGCTCACACTAGGTGCAAGCATAGCATAATCGTGTATAATAATGTAACTCTAGCGCAATTAATATGGCCTAACTAAGGAACGAAAACGAAAGTCATTGTTTCGACATCACACTCTGCACAAGATTCAAAAACCCCACACTTGTTTCTACATTTCAGAAAATAAAACATTTGCCGGAACAGATTCTGAGGCAGACAAGAGAACTGCGGACGATAGCATGATTCTGATTTTGCAAGGCGGTGGTCCTCGATTGTTCTGGTTCTAGCACGCAATCGCGCCTATATCTATTTCTTATTCTTACATCATGATTTTTTTTCCCGACCACGGTCACGGATCGCGCCAAAAATCCAATCACAAAAAAGTTCCTTCTGACGAAGATGATTTTTCCATGTGTGTTGTTTGGTGTGACCACATAGAAGAGACAAGAAACAGACCACGCCGTGATAACCGCTTTTCACAGAAACAACACCACACGGATTATACCACCCCAGGCGATACAAGATCAAAAAGAGCTATGCCTATGTCAACTTCGAGATTTACAACCTCTTCCACGCAATAATTTTGATTGCGACCACGAGCTGCTAAAAATGTTTGGCATAGTAGTACTATGTATCGGTAATATCAGCACTGGAAACAAAACACTTTTAGATTTTTCAGTCTAGTCTCCAACCGTTGATATAGAAGTACTACGACACGACCGCACAAGAATTACCCCGTCTTTCCTTTGTAGAACACCACAAAAATTCCTACCACGACCATGACCTCCGACCCACACGCCGACTTTTTCGGTCAGGACCCGCAGCTCCAGCAGTTAGGCGATGAGTTCGATAAACCACCGGAAGAGCGGACGAAACAGGTGGTCGCCTGGCCGCCCCCAGGTTACCGAACCGGCGACACCCTCCTCGACGCCCCGGTGCAAGCGACCCATTTGGACGCCGCGGGCGCAAAGGCGGTGTGTGCGGATCTCGGGTATTTCCAGGACCCGTGGATTCGACAAATCGTCCCGGCTTACGTCTGCGGGCGGAAGAGTCCGATCATGCACCGGGGATACTACTTGCGGAACGTCGCGATGCGGCTGAAAGTGGAGCAGTTTATCAAGAACAGCAATCCCTCTATCAAATGTAAAAATGTCTGGGTCTGGAAGAGTCATGCTGTTTCTGCATGACACAGAAGGTCTGGCATGGAAGCTCTTGCGTCACAGGTTTCGAGAAGCTTCCGCAATGCCGAATCCGCATGACAAACCCCCCATTTTGGTGACAGAAAGTGAGCAGCTTTTGCTGCCTATGCATCAGAGATTTTTGTGTGTTCTGAAATGCGCATCACAAGTTGCATTCTTCCAGACCCAGACACTTTTGCACTTGATACCCTCCCTCCCGATTCAAATCGTGGACTTGGGCGCGTTATGCTCTGCAAAATTATCGTACTCGTACTAATTGCAATCATGCATGACAAATCTCGTTTCTTACGCAACTCACCATTACAAACTCTATTTTTCCTTCTGGGAAAATTTGTATTGCGATTTATAGATACTAGCGCGATGCTTTTGCAATGCATACGCGGGGCTGAACACCATGTATTTCTACACCTCCGCCATGATGGAGCAGTGGGGCCGGAAAAGATCGGACTTGTTGTTCTTCGAGGTGGATTTCCCGGTGATTATCGCGAAGAAGACCAAAACGATCCTGCAGAAGAGGAGCCAACTCTTCAAGTTTGACGAACTAATTTTCGATAAACCGAGTGGAACGGTTCAGATCAACAACGCGACCGAGTGCACGGTGCGGAATACTGTGCACAAAGTAGAACAGTTGAAGCTCCCCTTCTACCGGCTGTGCGCGACCGACATGCGGCAGTCGGAAGAGTTTAAAACCGTGTTGAACGAGCAGGGGTTTAACGCGATGGCCAACACGTTGTTCTTGTCGGAGTGTGTGTTGATCTACATGCAGCCGCAATACGGGGACGCCATCATCCAGCAGTGCCGGGAATTGTCTTTAAACCCCACTTATCCAATGCAAAAGTACTTTATCGTACTAGTATAAATCGCATGACACATTGACTTAGCATTACAGATTGAATTTGTGATGCGGATTTGACTGAAGAAAAAGATTTGCCATGCATAAATGCGATAATTAGTACGAGTAAGATACTTTTGCAATGCATACCACCGCTCTAACCATGTTTGCGACGTACGAGCAGTGTAACCCGGACACGAGCTTTGGAAGAATGATGGTGAAGAATTTACAGGAACGGGGTTGTCCTTTAATGTCGATCCACGAGTACAAAACGATTGAGGACCAAATCAACCGGTACAAGAAGTTGGGCTTCAGCGAGTGCAAGGCGATTTCGATCAACGAGCACGTGAAGCAAACCATGAGCGACGCCGAAAAGGTGCGGATAGGGAAGTTGGAATTTCTAGACGAGGTGGAGGAGCTGAATCTGTTTTTGGATCACTATTTCTTGTTGACGGCTAGCAACAAAGAGTTGGTGGAGTTGGGGAAGGACGGTGCTGGTGTAGTTGGGACGATAACGAGTACGACGGGTTGACGGCGAGGAAAAAGCCATCCCTGATTTGATTTCTGCCCACCTACGACGAAAAAACTTTGTAAGTAAGACCAACGAGAAGAAACCTATTCAGCACGACTTTTTGAAAAAAAATCTCTGAGACCACAGACACCGAGGTGCAACTCGCCGCAAACACGAGGACGCATGCGTTCGTAAAGATTTCCATCCAAAAAAGTGTTGCACTTTCTTTCCGCAGAGTCGTTTTGCTTCAAAGTTGGTTTCGTGTCGTTGACGTTGGGAGAACCACCGAGGCTTTTGAATTACTACCCGAGACGCAGGTGGTTTGTTAGTGGACTTGAGAACACTCGCACACACTTACACGCGTTTGCTCCACTGAGCTCGTTATCAACAGCAGTTCAATGAATTCTCTCAATTGCAAGTAAGCGAGCAAGTGGCGCAAGTCTCTTGCTGCGTTACATCCTGTAGGTTCAATTCATCCAAATTCATCACATTCATATAGACCAGACCTGGTCAGAGTCAAGTGGCAAAACAGCATGGGAGTCCACTCCTCAACCTGCTCAGATTGGTGCTCGACCCTGGCGGGAGTCAAGTCCCCCAGGGCGACCATTCTGAACGCCTGGACCGAGCTGAGTCCATTCATTTCACTACGATCCTGATGGCTTTGCCTTCGTAGTATTTGGGGGATTCGCGGAACATGGTGAAGAGTTTCCTTTAGGATCTAGATAGATTCTGACCATTTCCCTAAGGATCTAGCTAGTTCAGGCCATTCAGAGCTGTCATTTCATTGAGGAACAGGCGTCATTTGGGGCGATCGTGTTACGTGTGTGCGGGATCGATTTCCATGACCAACATGGTTAAAAACCGAACTTCTACTAATATCTGTGTGGCCTCGAGCGAAAATTTTCTCGTTATTGATTCTCAACATTAGACTTTTGATTGCTCAACCGGACAACGTAAATCTGTACTGACAATTTTGGTTTCTTCTTGATTTATGATTTTGGAATCTTTTGCACGACAACATTGTCGAATTATTGTCATTTCGTTTGCAAAAACTCAAAATGTCTTCAAACATTGTTTCGTCAGCATGTCCATGTTTCTTGCTTGGTCTGACAACCTTTCAAAAAGTTTGCTCCTATGTTTTGCTTCTCTCGTCTATCAACTATTTCTGCAACTCGCATGATGCCAAAGCCATCTGCGTCCAGGCATTGAAACTCTCTTCGTCGCAACCATTCCGTGGTGGATGTTCTGGTGGTGTCACTGCCCCCACTCAGACGCAGACGGTGGTTGTGGGGGAAGAAGATCGTCGTGGCGACGCTGAGTCGCGTCCTCGTACTGGCAATTCAGCAAGTAGAAGCTCGAGTCGAATTACCTCGGTCTTCCATCCCGCGCCGCCGCGACGCGCTGGCGCGGTGGTCACCACGACATCAGGTGCTGATACACGAGCAGAGCCGAGATTTTGCAAGAATAAACCTGCTCCACCCAACAAGAGTAGCAGCAGTACCAGTAGCACTTCCACTTCGACCGCCGGTCAGAGGAATCTTCTAGATAAAGTGCCTACTACTTGTGATGTTACATCAGCAACGCGCGCGGCAACCGCCTCTGGGCGAACTGGTGCTTGCCCCGACCGCAGTGCCGCTAGTGAATTTTTACCCTGTAGTGGTCGCAGCGCCGAGGCATCTTCCGGTAGCAACAGAGACTCCCCCGTCCTCGAGAGAAACTCGCAGCGAAGAAAAAAGCATAAGCAGCCACAATCACAAAACCAACATAAGCAGGAAAACGATGACGCTCCTGAGGTTGTTGATTATTCCGCACATTTTCGCCACGCCCGCGTCGGACCGATTTTGCCGCCAAGCGACCTTTTCAATTTTCTGACACCGTGGCCGTGGCCGCAGGATTCGCACACTCGTACCGATGCGAGCGCATCCTCGTCCGATAGTGGACGTGAAGCCGAAAAGCAAAAAAACAAACACGATGCGCGAGGACTGCAGAAGCCACCGCAATGCGACATCGACGGGGAGGTTGTCTGCGAAAGATATATTCCCAGCGAACAAGATGAGGAGATGACGTCTTCCTGTACCGCCACTGTTTTCTCGCTATTTTGGGGCCCCTGCCACCGTAGTGGTCATGGAGGTTCGGGTCTTGATGTTTACAGAAAAAATATGGAATGGAAACAGGTGCTGTTACATCATCTTCGCGATTGGGCGGCTATTTGTCATGACGGCAAACCAGCAGACTTCTATGTCTAACAATCACTATCTTACTTTCCCACCAGGACTCCAAAACCGAATCAAGCCCAACACACTTCTCGAAAATGCATGCGCATTGTGCACCCCATTCCATATTCTTTCCCTACTCGACATCGGAATCCGATCTGCAACGACCACTTTTGCTACATATTGTCGACTGAATCACATGAAAAACTTAGCCTGACTTCAGGGGCGACCTGATGAAGAGATGAAGATCAAAATAAAAAAACTCAAACAAATAATTCATGAGCATGCATAGGTGTGGGAAGGTAGGATGGATTTCTAAAGGTAAATAGATGGATATATTTCCACATACGAACAGGACACCACACACCACGATATCAGAATCTCTCTCATCCCTTTTCATCACGAACCGAATCCATGATATGGATTGATGGATATATTTTCATTATGGATTCATCGAAAATCAATTTTTTTTTTTGATTTTTCAAAATTAATTCGGATCGATATGTGGGATTCTTCATCTATATCTTTTGAGAGAGAATTTGATGATGATGATGAGAATGATGATCGATAATCTCGGGTGGATCGGATCAAAGATTTGCATCAGAAATATGTCATTAAAGAAAATAAGATGGATTTCTTCAGGGTCTTGATTGAATATATGCCCAGACACGACAAGAAAGATAAAAAGGAAAAAAAATGATCGATGGAAAATCAATCTTGGAAAATATTTATCATAGGGATTCGGAAATTAATATTTGAGAATCAGAAATTCATTGATTCCATGATAAAGCAGATTCATTCCAATAAATTCGGAAATTATTTTTGAAATCTCGTATCATCTTTACCATAATTTTTTTCATTTTTCTCGAGATACATATCATGTCTCATCTTTTCTCAGATAATTTCTCTTCATAATTTTTTTTTATGAATATTTGGATCGTGCGTGCGTGCAAATGTCTTGTGCTGTGTCTTTTCTCTCGTTTTGCGGACGAAAACCGCGTGCAGCTGCCATAAACGGAATATGGATCACGACAAATGCGCCTCACCATGGGCGTTGGGGGCCGCCCGCAAGGAGTGGGTGTCCTCGGGAAGCACCTGCGCATACACGCCCAGGAACCCACGACGGTAGGATAGGATACGGCACTGCTGTGTCGTCCTGCACCCCCCCCGCGTATGCAGGTCCCAAGCCCGGTGATCCTGGGGCGGAAACCGGGGAAATGCCTAAGGGATCTTGGTTTGGCAGCAATCATACTGTAACACCATAGACCTAGAGTAGCAGTATGAATATTTGGATATCGAGATATATTCAATTGCAATTAATTCGGATATTTCGACTCGATTGAAAATTTTCTCGATATTGAAATTATATTTTTTAAAATGACCCCTGTGCTTCCACACTGGCATAATCGAAGAAAACAATTCTATTTTCGTTTTTTGTGACAAATAAACTTTTTCAACGAGAGAAACAAAAGAAAACATCAGAATGGAAAAAGAACATGAACAATTTCCAATACAAAACCAACATGAAAACAATCTTTTGGGAATCTATCAATGCGCGAATTACCTTACTCCCTCTGCGGAGATTTGGTGTTCCAACAACCCCACACAATTATTATGATTTCGAATCTTTGATTGATATCATTACCAGACAATTGAAAAAATGATGGAATCAAAAGAAGAATCCTCTCCGACCGATATTACGACGAATTTGGATCATCATTTCGATGATATCCAGACATGATGAAACAATCACATCAATAGATTCCTATTGATTCCAACAATACATCACCCAAGAATCGGATTTTTCGAATCCGAGATAAGAATATGAGAGAAATTTTTTCTATTTGGATTATGTTTTCAATGGTGATCGATATTGTGTCCGGTCGGACGATAAAATCGGAATAATCATAGATGAGATCCATGCATTCATCCATATAAGATCTACCGAAAAAAAAAATAAAACACCATGCCGAGGCCTTCGGAACATATTAGCCGAAATATCAATGGCATCTCGCCTCATTATATGACCTGCAGCAGGATCGAGGATCACAATCCATAATTAGCGCTGCGCGCGCCTGTTGTTTTGGCAAACAACATCGTCAGCCATGGGTTGATCCATGGATCGTTCATCGGCTGCCTGCCTGCCATGTGTGTGCTTGGCGCGGAGAAAATTGGGCGCGCCAACTTACTGCGGCGCGCTTCGTTTGCGAAGAAAATGCTTAGCCAGTTCGGTATTCGGGGCCCCACCCGCCCGACCCCCGAATGAACGGGGGTGATAGAGGCTCAGATGGGCGGCGACAGACGCAACCGCGTCGACCATTGTATGGGGCCGCAATGTGTTAGTGGGCCCACAACGGTCGAAGGAGAACGGAAGGGACGCGCGCGGCCTCACGCGCCAACTGCAAAGAAACACTTGCAGGGGGGCCGCTTGTTTTCCGCGCCCCGACGCGGGCCGACGGCGCTGCCCGTTCTGGGCGGCGCGGCCCGGTTGTTCCCCTTGCGCGCGGAACTGTACGCGGCAAACTGGTCGGGGCCGTTATCCCTGACTCGCTTTATCGCGGCCGGAATGCCGGCGCGCGCCTCAAACGCCGCGAACGCTGCCCCCCGGGGAACTCCGCGGCGGTAGGAATCGAACCGCCAAACTACAAATCGCGAACCTTCTGCCTGGGCATCTTGCCCAGAAGCGACGACCACTATTCGACGATAGGGCAGCTTTCCGCTAGCGGCGCCCTTCGGCTTTGCCGGGTCACCATGCAGATCGTCGACCCAGAACCGCGCTGGGCCCTCGGTGACGCTGTGCGGGTCCTCTATGCAGTTGCTTGCACAGACAAGGGCGGCGCTCCAATAGCATAGCTGTCGCCTTATGTGGCCATTGTTTGACCTGACACAGCCCGTCTTGCTTCTTGTTGACGGCGCTGTAGCTGCTCAAGGGGACGCGCGTCGGCTGTGCAATCCATGCCATGGGTGTGGGAGATAGAACATCACGGCCGCCACGACCGGGCCGGTCATCCATGCGGAGCAGACAGGGCCGGGCAGAGAGAGTGGCGAAATATGTACACCACCGGCGCCAACAGTCGGGCACATCCACCTACCTGCGGGCGTAAGCGAATAAAACCGCCCACGGCTCCCGCCACGAGGCTGTGACTGGCCCATGCGCCCGGAAACTCCTGACGAACAAGCCCACCACTGGGCGCGCGCGGCGCTGCACTGTCAACGTTCAGGGCGTCAAACTACGCTCCTCGTGTCTTGTTGGTTCTTGAATTCGTCGCTGAGAGCAGCATCGGCGTTGCAACTAGGCTCGCCTCTCCTGCCATTCCATCCCGACTCTCAGACAAACATCCCTCCAGATTCGTTCGCAGGGCCCCCACCGGTCAAGAGCAATGCGCTAGGTTGGTTTCGTCCAGTTCTAGTTCCGTTCTCTTCACTTCTCGTCGCTCATGGTTCTCTCTCTGTACTCTGTCCCCCGAACAAACTAGTCAGTCATGGAGTTTTCCAGACTGAGGAAACAAAAGAAAGTAGCAGCTGTTGTTTATTTTCTTCGAAGGTGTTTCCCATAAAAGGCACAAACAAGGTTGAGTAAAACTAAAATAAGTAAGTACTTTCCCAAAAGTCGACGAAGGCAAGAGTTGTACGTGAAGATGGAGAAGGTGTCAAATAAGGACGATAGGATCAAGCCTGTCAAGATGAAGATTTTCGTTTTATCAAACATAGAAAAGTTGCAAGCGTTGAAATTGCGTATTCCTTTATAGATACAGTTGAAATAGTTACATTTTGCAAACGTGGCAGCATCGTGACGTGTGTAACATAGAGATATTTTTGTTTCTTTCCAGCTGATCGATATCAACAAACGACGCAAATTCATCGGTGATCAAAAAAATTCAAAGTGTAACAAGTAGTCAAAAAGCACCACTGCTAGGACTAGCAGCTGCTGTCCGGCGGTGCCCACGACGTGTTACGCCAACGCCGCAGCCATAGTTGTGCCCAGCGTCGCAATCGCAAATGCACTCCACGCCAACCCAAATTTCCCCGTCGCGAAGCTGCTCACCGCCGCAGTTCCCCCGCTGCTCGCCGGCGTGCTGCTCGACAAAACCGCGGAGGCCGACTTCGCTTGAAAGTCCGAGGCAATGCCCGCATTCACCAGCGCCGCGCCGACGTGGGTCTGAAACGCGGAAGACACCGTCGCGGCGTTCGCGTTCTGCACCAGCGCGACGACAGAAGCTGCCTCTGCAGCGTCGGTGGTCGCCACCGTGTAGTCGACATCCAATGTCGGTTCGTTGGAGGTCGTGTTGGATGTCAGCAGACGGAGGGAAAAGGCGTCTTCTTGGTCAGCAGTGTCCGTGTCGCTGTTTTTGCTTGTAGTTCTCACCGGTTCTTGTTGCTTTTCCATGAACAGCTTTTCCTCCAACATTCGGCGGACTACGATGGTGACGCTATTAATCGTCACATCCGCGTCAGTGATACTTGCGGCGCCGAACATCGCGGCCAGTCCGGCCTTCAAAGCGGACACAAAGTTTGTGTTGGCCAGCAGCGTTTCCGAGGTCGACCCGGTCGGGACCTGCATCACGCAGCGCAGCGTTTGCCGGTACTCGCCAGCGGCGAAGGTCGTGGTGGCTGAAGTAGTACGGGGAAGTTTTGATGGTGTAGGATAGTACGATAAAACGTCAATTACGCATGGCAAGTTCATTATCATCTTCTAGAGTTTCTCATGCTATTTTTGAAACAAAACCGAAGACGCTTCTAACGTATTAATTAATACATGTGCTGGTCGTAGGCGATGTCGTGGTCGTCGTGCCACTGCTGCTGCTCGTCCCACCGCTTGCACTGGTCCCGGAAGTAGTGGTTGTCGTGAAATTATGCATTGCAAAAGCACAGCACTAAGTACAAATCGAAATCGCGTGACAAATTTTGATTTTCTCAATGGGGAGAAAGCTTGTCGTTGTCATGCAGATTTCGGTAAAATAAAAATGCTAGATCTGTCATGCAAGACAGCAACTTGAACTTCTTGTACTAGTTAGCACGATCTTTTGAGTAGGCGTGGGCCTGTAGGCCTAAATTCCGGTCGGTTGGTCGGTCGGTTGGTTGGTTTTGGACAGACGACAATTGACCGAATTTCCGACTTATGGAAAAACGCATATCGGTTTCGGATTTAGAAGACAACCGCAACGGCAAGGAGGGCGAAACACGATAGGGGGGTGGTCGGGGCGCGCGGCGCACCTGCCTCCCTACCGGGGCTGCAGCCCGCCCCTGCGAGGCTGGTAGCGCCGCATCCTATCGCCGCCCAGTAGGCACTTCCGCCAGGGCGGCAGAAAGGTCTCGGCAGAAGGAGAGTTCGATGTGTCCACGCAACACAGACGCAAATCTGTGTTGATGCGTGGACGCCAATCTGTGTTGCGCGCGCCACAGATCTGTGCTGCGCGCAGCTCGCCGCAGACACAAATCTCCGCTGCGTGCGCGCAGCACAAATCGGCGCTGCGCGCAAATCTGTGCTGCGTGTTGCGCGCAAATCTGTGTTGCGCGCAGCTCGCCGGAGACACAAATCTGTGTTGCGTGGGCGCGCATCTGTGTTGCGCGCAACACAAAGCAGTGTTGCGCGCAGCTCGCTGCCGACACAGATCTGTGCTGCGTGGACGCAATCGGAGCTCCAGGGGGCCTCGTGAGAGTTTGCGCCTGTGAGATAGAAAGAGGTCGGGGCTCCAATGCTGCACTTTTCTCCAGCCACGGCCTGCGTTTCCTCAACCCAAGCAAAACACACTTGGGAAATAGAGACAAATTCGCGCAAAATTTGGATCAGCCCCCGCTTGGTCAAGCCGCGCGGGGGCTTTTTGCGCAACCCCTTGGCTTCGCGAGTCCCTTGCTTGCAAGCCCCCTGCTAATAGATTGGGCCATAGGCGACGCACGCTCGCCCCACCCCCTCCCCCCCCGCTTGGCAGGTGGGCTGGTAGGTCGGTAGGCGTGGCCAATAGCCAACACACGCTCCCTCGCCCCCCCCCGCTTGGCAGCTGGGTGGGTGGGTCGGTAGGCGTAGCCAATAGGCAACGCACGCTCGCCCCGCCCCCCCCCACCAGGCAGGTGGGTGGGTAGGTCGGTAGGCGTGGCCAGTAGGCAGCGCACGCTCGCCCCACACCCCCACCTGCCTGGTGGGTGGGTAGGTCGCTCGGCAGCCCGGCCAATAGGCAGCGCGCGCTCGCTCCACCCACCCACCAGGCAGGTGGGTGGGTAGGTCGGTAGGCGTGGCCAAGAGGCAACACACGCTCACCCCACCCACCCACCTGCGAGGTGGGCGGGTAGGTCGGTAGGCGTGGTCAATAGGCAGCGCACGCTCGCCCCACCCGCCCACCAGGCCCGTGGGTGGGTAGGTCGGTAGGCGTAGCCAAGGGGCAGCGCACGCTCGCCCCACCCACCCACCAGCGAGGTGGGTGGGTAGGTCGGTGGGCGTGGCCAATAGACAGCGTTTGCTCGCCGCACCCATCCACCAGGCTGGTGGGTGGGTAGGTCGGTAGGCGTGGCCAATACGCAGCGCACGCTCCCTCGCCCCACCCACCCACCAGCGAGGTGGGTGGGTAGGTCGGTAGGTGTGGCCAATAGGCAGCGAGCCCTGCCTCGCCCCACCCACCCACCAGGCTGGTGGGTCGGTAGGTCGGTAGGCGTGGCCAATAGGCAGCGCGCGCTCCCTCGCCCCACCTACCCACCATGTGGGTGGGTAGGTCGGTAGGCGTGACCAGTAGGCAGCTGTCTCTGGGTGGCAAGGGATAGGTAGGTAGGTGGATCGGTGCGATCACGGTACTACAATGAATCGAAAAGACGCCAGGTAGGTGGGTAGGTCGGCAGCTTCAACAGTAATAATAGACGAATCTCAGAAAAACACAAAACACAATGGAGCGGGTTCGGTCAATTGTCGTCTGTCCAAAACCAACCAACCGACCGACCAACCGACCGGAATTTAGGCCTACAGGCCCACGCCTATTGGATCTTTTTGCATTTGATACACAGTTTGCGCGATCAGAACCGTCTGATTCACCGTCACATTCCCGCCAACCGTTCCACTACTCACGTCGAAGGGCGGGCACGCCCCCCGAGTGTCCTTTGGCGCGTCCCCCTTGCAGGCGCCAACGCACTCGAACGCCGTCGGGCCGGAGCACGCGGTGCACGCGGAATCGCAGTTCACGCAATCACCAATCGAGGTTTCGAGGTAGGTTCCAGTAGCGCAATCCGAGGCGGTTTTCGGCGTGAAGTACTGCTGCCGGATGCAGAGTATGCAGTGCACAAGCATCGCACTCGTAGTAATTGCGTTTATGCATTACAAATCTTTTGCTTAAGGCAAATCCGCATTACAAATTCGATTCGTAAATGCTAAGTCGATTTGTAATGCAATTTGTATTAGTACGATACCTTTGGTGCAATGCATACAGAGTTTCGTTCCAGAAACCGTGACAGCACTGTCTTCGTTCGTCTTCCCGTTGACCAATTGCGTACCGGTCAAGGGGCCGCCGAGGTAGATCGTGTTGGTAACACCGTCGACGGTGAAAGAGGTTGAGGTCGTCAGTTTGCTGCAACTGGTCCACAAGGTCCCTCCAGAGGTGTACTGCCGGCAGCACATCAAGGCCGCGCACGAGCTGCTTGTGTCATCTGAATCCCGCAACGGAAACTGCGTTGCGCGTTCCGCCGTCACGGCCTCGCACTGCTTGTCCTTGGTCATGACACAGGTTTTCGCGTAGCAGGTAGAAGATTTCGAATCCGCAGCGTAGGTGCAACTCGTTCCCCACTGCTTGCCCTTGTCACTGGGGCAAACACCAGAAGACCCGCTGCAGGTTTCCGCCTCGTCACACTGCGAATCCACCGCCGCCCGACAAACCGTTCCCGCCGCTTTGAACTGACAGGTGGAGGAATCGTATCAAGTGCAAAAGTGTCTGGGACTGGAAGAGTGTAGACTTGTCATGCAGATTTTCCATGACCCATGAGGGCTGCAGTGCGGGACTTAGCATGACAGACTCTGCGAGGTCTCTGCCATGCCTATCCTGCACGAGAAATTCCTTTCCAACTTGGTCAAAAGTGGACAGCTTTTGGCACTCATGCAACACAGATTTGTGCATGCTTCGGATTTACCATGACAAGTTGCAACCTTCCAGACCCAGACATATTTGCAATGCATAAATCGCAGCACAGCTCTTGGCTGTTCCCGCCCGCGCACTGGGCGCCGGACTTCAGTTTGCAGGTGGGGCACTCACAGCACGTGTCGGTCGTCGCGCCGCCGCAGTCGCACTCCTCACCGTAATCAATCCCCCCATTCCCGCAAACGGGAGAAACGGCTAGCGCGGAGGGGAGAGTGCATTGATTCTGGAAGCACATCCCGTTCCGGACATCCCAGGGGTTCGATTTGTGCCAACAGGGGGTGCCATCGGGCACCGTCATTTGTTTCCCATGCGTGGAAAAGTACTGGCCGCATTCCGTCGACGCCTGCCCCTTCTCGTGGCAGACGAGACTCCCACACGGGTCGTTGTACCGCTCACAGGTGGTGGACAAATCCCAATTTTTCCCGGACGAGGCGGCGAACATGTTCTGGATGTCTACCGAACAGGTTTTGTTCATCGACCCGCACATGCCGCCCATACAGCTCCCACTGTAACTCACCCCCGTTTGCGCGTAGGTGGTCGTGCAGGCTTTCCCGGGGTACTCGTACGTGTCTTTTGGACACTCTTTCGTTCCTCCCGCGCAGGTCTCCGCGATGTCGCAATCGTCGTTTTTCTTCGCCCGACAGACAAAATTCTCGCTGGCAGCCCGGAACATACAGTTGTTGCAGCACGGGCCAGTGGCGTCGGAGCACTGGTAGGAAGCTTGGGCGAACTTGCAGGTTGCGCCGTTGCAACAGGCGTCGATGGAACTGCAGTCGGAAGCGCCACAGTCGCAATCCTCCCCAGATTCCACGAGCCCGTTCCGGCACACCGGGTCACCCATCACGTAGGAGGGCTGGTTTTCCAGGCAAGGTCCGTTGTCCACGTAGGACTCTGTGAAAAACGTGTTGACATTGTTCGCTGAACAGTCGGAAAAGCGGGTGCTGTATCCATAGTAAATTTTCCGTGCAAGACGTACCAATGCGGTTTGTGCATGACAAAAGTTTCTTTCAATCCCAATCAGCAACAGCATGACAGACGCTATGCCAATATAAGCTGGCGAAATTTGTGATGCATTTTGTACGTGTACAGGATATTTGTATTGCATATGCTGGCATCGCCGCCACCAACTGCCTCCATAATGAAGCCGGACTGGGGGCAGGCGGAGTTGCTGCCGCCGCCATCGTGATTCATGCCGAAGTTGTGACCGACCTCGTGGGCGATCACGGCGGCGCAGTCGGCCTGGGATTTTTTGCAGGGTTTTGGTGATGCGGTGGGGGTTTTTGCATTATCATGCAGGTTCTTTTCACAGAAGGATTACACTTTGTCATGCGAAGATGAACACCTTCACCTCTATACTCGGACTCCCAACCAAATAAATCAAGCACTTCTATACCTTCGCACTCTCGGTCTGCGCGCACATGTTGACGTTTCCACTCCGACTGACCAAGCACATCACCCCCATCCCCGCTAACCCGACCGTGCTCCCGTCGAAGTCCCGGCCACTCAACAACACCCGGTTGTCGTGCGCGACGACATTACCCGACTCCAAATTCGTCCGCGTCCACTCGTTGAATTTGGACAACAGGTCGCTGCAATCCGTTTCCGACCCGACCTTCGTCACGGTCGCCTCGTACGGATCGCCATTGACGTATGTGTGCTGCCCGATCAACACGATCTTGATGTTTTTCGCAAAGGTCCCGGCGGACGGGTTGCTGTTACTGTTTTCGTTGATGTAAATCGTGTTTACCAAGTTCATCACCGCGGTCGTGTGCGCCGCCATGGTCGGCGTACTGGCAGGCGTGCCACCAAACAAATCGTACCGAGATTTGTCGTTGACCGCAAGCACCTCGACGTACTTCTCCGTTCCGGAAACGGAAAGCTGTCGGACGTAGGACTGCACATCGGTGTGGTATTCGGACGTGCGGTCGGTCGGGGAAAGGAAACGGAGGTTGTGCTTCAGAGGAGAATCTTCAGGAATTTCGATGTTGTAGTTTTTCGTGCTGCCTGCTCCCTTGCCGACATCCAATGCCGCGCTGTTGTTCATCGTGTCCGCATCGTCTGGCAACAAAGTGAAAATGACAGTGGAAGAAGACAGCTCCTTCTGCAACTGCCGCTGCGCCCCGCTTTCCTCCAAAATGTTTTCAATTTCGTTTTCCACCACTTTCATCCGCACCAACGCGTCCAACCCCTTCGGGTTGCAGCTGTGTGCGCCGATCACCAAATGCGCAGATTTTTGCTTCTTCCCGGTTGCAACGAGCTTCTCTTGATCCATCTCCACTCCCGTTCCCTGGTAGTAGCACAGCTCCTTCACCTATCCAGGAAAAAAACTGTGTAAGTGTAAATTTGTAGGAAAAGCAGCATCACAAACTCGCCTTGCATTACAGGGAAAACCTGTCATGCGCAGCTGGTACGTGGAAACACATATTAAAGCTGCCTATGACGCACATCCAGCATGACGCGCGTAAACAATTTTGCATTTTCTGCATCACAGACTATACACTCACACAGCTTTTTTCTTGCATATCACCATCGGCTGTCTTTCCACCTGTCCGTTCCCGTAGTCCAGGACGTGCTCGGCGTTGGCAGTCACCAGCTGGCGGTTTTTCTTCAAGTGGACGTCAAATTTTTTGGTTCCAATGGTCATCTCGATGTTCAAATCTTCCGGGTGGGTGGAGATGTGGGACCGGTTCAGGAGCTGACGCTTCTTCGCAGATGTTGTTGAATGGGATTTAGCCCTGCTTGTTTCCCGTTTCTGCTTGTCTGCTTCCTCATCCACCAGCTGTCTCTCATGCGCGCCGATCCAACGCAGCTCCACATTTGGCGAGTGCTCCCCGAAGAAGTCTTGCAGCAGCTGGCGACGTGTTTCCGAGGCCTCTTCCGCTTCGTGTTCGGAGTGGTGGTGACTGTGGTCGTGGTCTCGGTCGTGGGCAGAAGCTTCATGTGCGGACGAGAGGAAAAGGAGAAGTGCCGGGAGATGACGGAGCTGTTTGGAGGACCGGTGGCAGCAAAGGCCGTGGAGGTAGTGCGGCGTGGCTGCCATCTTGATCTCGATAAGGTCTGTATCAGAAAAATATTAGCTGTTCCTCGCCTGCTGCCGGTGTTTGGATGAGGGATGCGAGTTTTGTTGGCGCCTGCGGAGCGGCGAACGAAAAGGGCGCGCGGTGAGGGCTCACTAGCCCTAGGAGCGGACACTGTCACTGGTTGACGTTGCTCGCCGGCCGAACAGTAATTCTGGTAGGAAATAGTAGGAATACGCCGCAAGCCCCATCCCTTATTGTTCGGGTAGCTTGTGTTTTTTTGACAACAAAGCAATAGCATACGCCAATTGACAAGCCGGCGCGAACAGAATGTATGGTCGCGCGACCCAGGCTGACGGAGGGAGCGTGGCACGGGCTAGGAGCCTTTCCACGCGCTCAGTTACCAGAAAAAAGGCGCCCACGCGCCTAACCCACCAAGATGAAGTTCCGGCCGCGGGCGCGCGGAAAAGAACTACAATAAGCGCACGCCCCTCCGTCGGGGCCACGAACGCGGGCGCGGCGGGGGGGCCCCAAAGGTAGGCTCGGGGGGGGGGCAAAACAAAAGAAACGCCGCCCCGGTCTGACGGGAGCGAGGGGGAGGTGGGGCGGCCGGCGGCCCGGCCGGCCAACTCGCTCAGGCCTACACCTTGGGGGCCCGCGCGCGGCGCGGGCCCACTGGCAGGCGCGCCACTATCGCGGGGGCCCTTGGTGGGCTGGCTCCGTCTCTCGTCTCCACGCCGGTGAGAACCCACAGCGCGGGGGCGTTTTCCCAGCCTCCGGCACCACGAGGCCGCTCCGCGCCCGCCTGGCACTTCTTTAGCAGGCCACTCGCCAGCCCGCGGGCGCCCAGTCGGTCGCTCGCCAACACGGGCCCGGCGTCCGTCGTTGCGATGGATCGACGGCGCGCCACAATAGCGAAGGAAATATGGCGCAACGCAGCCAATCACGCCTCTCACCATAATTGCGCGCCACGAACCAGATCGCAGGAAGCCACGCGAACAATGACGAGGGCTCTTCTACGCGGCACGCAGCAGCACGCCATGCCTTGTCTCTATCATGTCTTTACTTTGCTCTATATCGCCATCTCATCACTTATTATGCATGCACGATGAGGCTCCCACTGGAACAGACATACTGCGCTCTTCGCAATCTCTTCGCTCACGTCACGTACAACATTGATCTCGGTTTCGCTTTTTCCCCCCTCGTTCACGGATGTATAGGTGCCTACGTACACGTCGTAGTGAGTTCCCCCTCAAGTCGTGCGACTTCTGACAAGACCATCTGATGAGCCTACTGGACGTACATCACATGTGGACGATTCAGATGAGTTCGCTCATCTTGTAATATGGTATGAGTTTGCCACTGGCACTGGTATGAGTTTGCCACGACGATGAGGAGCACCTTGCTGCTTTTTCACACAATAGACGCAACTCGCAAACACGAAGCAGGTCTCAAAGCGCAGCCATGTGCGTCAATTTGCCAGGGGGCGGAGGCCTCATCATTGGCACCCAAGGGCCTCCATCCTTCACCGGGCTTGTGGGAACACTTATTCGACCGTTTCTTTGGAAAACGACAAACGGCGGACCAACGGTTGTCGAGGGCGCCTCTAAGTTTTGACTTCCTTTTGTTTCTTTCATATGCATTGCCGGCGAAAGGGCAACAACCTATCGACCATGCATCCAGGCCAATGCAGGTCCACGGGCCCAACGATCAGACTGTGTCGGAGGGAGCCAGGCAAGGAAGGTAGGCGCCCACCCGCAGGGGGGCGGCATGAAAGAATTTGAATGCGCGCGGCGCGCGTGCGACCGAACGATCGAAACAATGGCGCGCACAGACGCACCCACACGCACGGCCCCCCCGCCGCCCAACCAGGGGGCGAGGGGCGGGGCGGGCGGCCAAACACGCCCGAAGGGGCTGCGCGCGCGGGGTCGGTTCTGTAAGTGTGTGGCGGGGGCCTGGCGTTTGCCAGGCAAATGCGCGACCGAAGGAATGCCCACGCCCGCGGCCGGCTAAACCACGCGGGCCCGGCAATCGCGCCCGCCAAAGAGCCGCCCGCCCGGGACACTTCGGCGGGCGCGCGCGCGGGGGATCAGAACAGACCGCAGACGCTTGCCGCCCGCCCTCTTTTCGGTGGGCGGGAAACAAGCACGACGGCGCCGCCCATTCAAAACGATGGGCGGGCCAAAGAACGACCGAACAGACCAGGGGAAGCGCCGGGCGGGCCTCGCGCGCGCCGCCTTCTGCAGCTCCGGTGGACGTGTATGCTTGCACGTTTTTCGGCGCGGTTTCGCACGCCGGCCGCGGCCGCCCGGAGGTCGCGGCGCGCTTGCTGGTCATACATAATTCTGAAGAAGAATTCTGACAGCCCCGGGCCGATAGACATAACCGCGAAGGCCGCCGCGGGCTCCTTGTGCACGCTGCGGCCGAGGCCGTCGGCCATACGGTCCAACCGCACCCCCTAGGCCCACCGACACAGATGCCCGGAACTACGCGCACACAAACAGCGCACGCACTGCGTTAGCCCCCGGCAGCGCGCTCAATCTTTTCACGATGACAATGCTTTCTTGAAGACGAAGCGGATAGCACGTAGTTTTCACTTTCCTCTCGATCACATTTATCACTCATCTTGGTGTCCATTGATAACGTCTCCCGTCTTTCCACCGCGGCTCTCATTTTCATTGGTCTCTCAATTTCTTTACTCTGGCATTGAATGGAGAAGAGAATTATAGACGAACAGTGTGCTTTTTCATTCACCTAGAAAGGAAATCCGACCCCTGCCGCAGCTGCATTTCGTTCTGTGCAAGTCTGCTGTCGAAAAGAAAACCCACACTCTTCGAGAAACTGATAGTATCTGGGCTATCGCTATCCAAACAAATACGTAACTGGGACACTCGCTTGGAAGCCAGTTGTCCAATTGCTTTTCGATACGATAAGTGGGAACGGACGAAATCCACGTTGAGGTACGTATTAGAACGTGAGCAGTGAAACAACTGCGATAAAAATTGGGAAAAGTAATCATGTGTTTTTTTTTCTTCTGCATCAGTATACAAATACACAACCAAAAACTACAAAATTTACTGCTCTACTCGACGGCTCCCAAACAGTTTGGTACATGTTATCTGCTAATCTCTTTTTCCTACGAAACCAATTTGCTAAAAATCATCTTCAAGCACAAGCTGCGCGCTGTAGTGGGCCATCGATGTCAACACCTGACGGCCAAGTAACGTACGAAGCTAGAAACAAAAGTCAATGCAAGTCAATTCTACTCTCTAACGGTAATGGGTAGAAACTTCAAGTGAAAAGCTAAAGCTAGTGTCTGTAGTTGCTGTTTGAGTACGACAATATCTCGCCTATTTTCAATGGTAATATTCATAAGAGCGATTGGGATAGCGAAAAGCTTGTAGGAGATAGGAGAAATACTCATCAGAAAATTTGAAAAAAATCAGACCTACATTCTCCTGGTTATACGAACTTCTTCCCTACTGGTATTCACACCGCCCTAAACACCGTTCTGGGACTAAACGGCCCCTGTCCCACTTCTGAGTATGCGGCCACCCGGACTTGATACAGTTCGTTCGCGGTCAAGCCCGTCAGTGTGCAGTTTGTTGCCGTTTCATCCAGAGTGCCACAGCTCGTTATCGGTTCCGCGAGAATGGGCTGAGTTTTGTTGTTTTTGAATAAATGAGTGGAAGTGCAATGCGTTAGAAGTCAACCGAAATAAATTTCCAAACGAACCGTTCTTGTGCCTCACAAAAAAGTCATCAGTTTCATCAAAAGAAAACAAATTTCTCTACCGCCGTCGCACTCGTGCTGTTTCTGCCCATATCTCTAAAAACCCGGAATCCCAGCCCGCTGCTACTTCCGCCCCAACTGACCGGCGTCGACCACACGACCGTGTTGGTACTCATTACCACTCTCGGCTTCGTCACCTGTGCCGGGAGTGTCATGAATTTCAGTTCCCTGACTACCGAGTCCTGGTAATAGCTATCCGTTGCAGTGAACTTCGCTTTGAAAGAATACGACCGGAGGAATCCGTTGAAGGTTTTATCAAATGCAAATATGTCTGGGTCTGGAAGGATGCGAGGTCTGTCATGCACATTTTGCATGACTTCTGATGTCTGTGATGCATGCCCTAGCATCACAGATTTTGTGAGGGATTCCTGATGCCTATACCGCATGAGAAATGCCCTCTCGCCGTGGCAAAAACTGGACTGCTTTTCCTTTTGCTGTTCATGCAATACAGATTTTTGTAGAATCCAAAGTCAGCATCACAAGTTGCATCCTTGCTTCCAGACCGAGACATATTTGCAATGCATAGGTTTTTCCCAAAAGCAAATCAAATTTGCTCCTCTCCCTCACCACAAACTCGGTTTTCCGCGGGCCACGGAGCGCGCAATCTGGGATCAAATTCTCTTCCCTCTCCTTCTCCGTTGGATACAGCATCGTGTGTTTGTAGCTCGGCCACACCTCTTGAAAATCGGCCGCGGCGGCGTTGTCTGCCGTTTCGGTCAAATACAAACGGAACCCGCTCGGGCCACCGCAAGAACTATCCAACCCGGAAACGGCTGTTGGCCAGGAGACGATGAGCTTCTTGGATTCGTAGGTGGTTGGCTTAATACTTGGGATGACATTGGCAACGTCTGGTGGGCGGCAAGGGGTTGTTAGGCCGCTGGTTGCCGTTATGACCTCCTCGATTAGAAAGTTCGAGGCATTTTTACTATTCCCAGCGGTTAAAGAAGCAAACGTCGGCGCAGTGTTTTGTCCAAATTGGCTGTTTTCTGGGTTTAACAGATCGAAAAAATCCCGCATGCCGTATTTTGACTGCTCGACTTGCCCAGTTTCCGACTCCGCCAAAATCAAAATTCTCGTCGCGTGCGGCGGTATTTTGTTCAGAATGTCAGCCTCGTAGCGCCGCTGTGCGATAGAAGCTGAAGAAGAAGAAGAATCACCAGCAGTTGTACTTGTCACGACACTCACGTCCTCGATCTTCTCAAACGGCCTTTCAAACAGGCAATTTGTCGTGTAGAATTGCCATGTTGTTTGTTGCTGTGTAGAAGTAGAAGTTGCAGCACTACTACTACTTGATGCAGCATTACCTCCAGTGCTTCTCTTCGTCCCAGAGAATTTCAATTTCCCGCTACTCACATCCAGTGAAACCGCGGTCGCTTTATCAAAGTAATCCCTCACCGGGATTGGTTGCTCACTGAAAACCACATTTCTCGGTTTGTGCACCAACTGAATCGACAAAGTGCTCCGACTGCCGTAAATCACCGGCGTGTTCGGCGGAATGGCGATTTCCACCTTCGAATCGGTTTGGTAACTCGTCGAAATCAAATTCGCTACCGCGTATTCTAAGACCACTGCGTGTTCGTAATCTTTGACGATTTTGTTCGTCGACACCGAAGCGGACACCAAGTCGTTTAGAACCCCGTTGGTCTGTTTCGTTCTCGTGGTGCGCGCACCCGTCGGGTACTCCTGACTGTCAAACATGGACTCGTCGTGACTCATCGGTTTTATCAGTAATTTCTGCTGCTCTAGTTCATCGTCAAAAACCACCGTTTCATTGAACCTCGGGATCGGGGTCATCGCCATGGTCGCGGAAGAATCGTAGCCGGAGTGTTGCATTATCGTTTGTTTTGTCGTGTTGATCTCCAATCGCATCACTTGTTCATATTGATTCTCTACTTTCTTCATATCCGACCCCGGAACGAACAAAACCCTTAAAACCAAATCTTTCGCAATCGATTCCCACGTGGCGGAGGACTTGTAGCTGTTCGCGTTAAAAACGTTTTTCATGTTTTTCGCTTTTTGTAAATTGATTTCGACATTATTCTGCTCGTTGTCGAAAGTGGGAGTTTTCGATTTGTACTTATCGAATTCCGACCTCGTCGCCGCGTTTTCCTCCAACCCAGTTGCTAATCTAAACTCCCCCGACTCAGGCGACATGGGGCCGTAGAAAGTCCGTGGGTTTGTCAAAGGCGTCGATGATTGAAACGGGGCGAAAAGTGGCAAAATCGACCCTCTCTCTTGCTTCACTTTCGCCTGATCCTCCGCTCTTAGTAAATCCGCGTAGGTTTTCATCCATTCTTCAAGTAAGCTGTTCCTCCCGGGCACTGTGTCGTTCTTTGTCTGTAAGTCGTTGGGGAAGTCTCCATACCCGCTTTTCAATTGCTCCGATTCCCCTGGTGGAAATTTAAAGCTTAACTTCCCCCCGACCTCGTGCAAATCCGGGTCTTCGTCTAAAAATTCCAAGTCGCGTAGTGTGAATCTCCGGTCGCACTCCTTGATTCTTTTCCGCGCCAGCTGGACTTTTGCGTTCCCGGCCAGCATTCGCGCGTTTGTCGCGTACAATACCAAATCGGAATACGTGTTGGACCAAGTGGGCAAATTTATCTCCACCTCCGCTGTGTAGAATAACTCATTCCTGTCCACAATATTCAACTCCGATTTCTTCACTTTCTTCACCACAATCTGCTTCCTTTTCGCCTGCCTCGAATCCTCCGGAACTTGCTTCTTTTCATAGTCCGGGATTCGGCTGACCACCGTTGTTATTCACTGCAAATATGTCTGGGTCCTCTGGAAGAACCAGGTCTGTCATGCGTATTTTGCATGACCCATGATGCCTGTAATGCATGATCTAGCATCACCAATTTTTTGGGGGCTTGCTCATGCTATTCCGCATGAGAAATTCCCTCTCTGCGACGTAGTGCAAACTGGGCTCCTGTTGCTGGTCATGCAATACAGAGTTTTTTAGAATCCAAAAACAGCATCACAAGTTCCAACCTTCCAGACCCAGACACATGTGCATTTAATAGTTGTCTCAACCAACCTTTCGGTCTTCTCACTGGTCACGTGCGTTTTCGCAGCAGGATTCTCGTTAGACCGAAAGGGGTTCAGCTCCGCGACTCTTGGGTGGCAGTCTCGGTACTGGTTCATAGGGATGGATTTGGAATGGGGTAGATGTTGCGTCTCCGTCACGGTTGCATCCCCAGAGTAGAACATCGGAACGTAGGGATAATTTTCCGTCAAAACGTACCCGTACCCCTCCATCGGCACCTCGTTTACATCAACAAAATTTTCGCTCGTGAAATCAAACCCGTTCGCCTCGTCTAAGTGACAGGCCCCGAGTGGGACCTGCATGTTGTTCGGAGAGCTCCCGACACCTCGATAGATATAATCGGACTCACTGTCCCCTTGCAGCGTGTTGGAGTCGGATTGTGCCTGCATGGAGTTATCTGGGTAGAAAATTGTCGTGTCGTTGTTTATTAAACTCGTGGTTATAGTAGTGCTGTTCCCTAAATTCAGATTGCCCATCGAGTCCTTCACAATTTCCCGTGTACTCGCGTGGACAGCATCATGCGCGTTGAAGTCGAAGTTGGAAAATTGGGTTTTCAAGTAGTAATATGCATTGCAAATAGTAAGCGTACTAGTCGAAATAGCAGGGCAAATTTCTCCAGAAAGAAAAATGCAATTTGTAATGCTGAACTAGCTAAGAAACCAGATCTGTCATGCTGTATTGCAATTATCAGTACGAGTACGATACTTTTTCTTTTGCTGCGGATAAGTAACAGGACTTGAACAGCGCGTGATCGCAGTTCGCGTAGACCTATCGCAAGAAAAAACTGTTTCGCTGTATCTGTAAACTTGTTGTGCATAAAATGGAACACAGAACTATTTGTCTTGCTACACCTACAAGACCTTGACTCTTTAAGGGTGTTTTCCCTTTGGAGGGAGCATGGCAAATTTTCTGTGTCATCTGTAAGAAACTTGTGATGCAGGCCTTGCAAAACCATCACAGTGAAACAGTTTTTTCGTGGGATAAGACCGGAAACCCGTCTAGTAACCACCCGACGTGATTGCAGCCGGATTTCTTGTAACTACCCGCCTTGGAGGAACTGGAAAGAGTACTGATAGAAGCGGTGTTTGTCGTGCTAGAGCTGCTACTCCTGGTAGATGTAGAACTCCGACTATTTTTACTTCTGTCAAAGCAATCAAAAGAACAAGCCCTCACCTGCGCGTTGACGAAATGGTGGTGGTAAACGCACTGTTCATCCGCGTGCCCGGCGCAGTTGTCCAGAAACTGCAGCTCGTTACTCGGATGAAAAGCGACACTACCTTATCATTTGTAAAAACGCCCCCACTCCAGAGCTGTAATGCAAATCTGCATGCTGGCAATGTTTCTCATGCGGGGACCCATGCATAGTAAGCAGTTTCTATTGGTGCTTTGAGATTTGTGATGCTCAAATCCGCGTGGTATGCTCGACCTGTGATGCTGCTGCACTAGCTGAACCCGACTACATTACGACCCCAGATTTGTCATGCGAAACAGCCAAAGCCTGGCGATTCGTCTAGCAGATCTCCCATCTTGACTCTGGGGTGGGGACGTTTTTGCTCACCATATCCCTTCTCGGTTCGCGAACGGGTTGTAGAGAAAAGCGCCGGTTCGTAATACCCCGATCACACCCAGTGGCGTTTTCTTCTTCGGAATTGTATTGGAGATTCTCACTGGTTTTAATTTCAGTTTATACTCCCGCGGCTGCTCGCAGATCTCGTTTGGCGCAGCGGGGTTCTGGCCATACAAATGGTTCGGGATACCGTTTGTTCTGATCACCCGAACTTTTTCATTACTGGTGATGTCAGACTTTTCCACTAATTCTTGGTACCTCGATCGCACCGCATCCCCGCACGCCCTGGCGGACGTTGCTCTGCAAGACAACGGCGTGTTAGTGGAGTGTTTATTTTCACTACTGCTGTGCGCATGCGCGGTATTCGGACTGGTTACTAGAGACGATGTCACAACAGTGGACTTTTCCACTTTCAACCCACCGGAATTTTCTATCGATTCCTCTACCACGAAATACAGCCTATCGATCTTCTCTTCCAAAAACGCGAAGTTTTGAATAGTGACCAGCAAGTTTAACTGATTCGGTTCGCAATTCCGGTCGTTGAAACTCATGAAGGAAAAAGCGTCCAGCTTGGTCAGTGCGTCCTGCTGGTCGAAATAGAGGAATTTTTGCGGGTTGTAGATTGCAGTCGACGGTGTGGTACTAGAAATTGCTGCACCGTTCATCTTTTCTGTCACTGTCCACTTGTCCTGATAACTCCCAGCCGGTCTTTTGAACACCGAATCCTCCACAATCGGCGCGTCACTGGCTGCTAATGTTCTCCTACTCTCTACTTCCCGAAGCGACCTAGATCTGGTGTGCACTGACCCGTGTTTCGTGTCATAAAACAAATTCGCTTGCGACTGCTTCGTCTTCGCGGAGGACCTTTCAAAACTGTCCTTCACCCCAGGGAGTCCCGCGTTTGCCAAATCATTCAACTTCTCTTCCAATTTCTCCAACTTATCCCCTGAAAACGTGCCGGAGCTTGTTGTAAAAGACCACAAATCACTTCTCTTCGACTTTTCCAGCTCGAGACTCACATCGAGTAACGGAATTGCGGAATAAGCTCTTCTCTCCTTATTCGACGCCAAGATCAAATACTTCGCCCACTTCGGCTTTTCCATCACGGGGAGCTGCACGGGGGGTTTCCGGACTTTCCCGATCAACTCTTTGGATAAATCCAGAATCCTCGGTTTCTCATAGGGGTGTCTGTGTCCCTGGTATTCGGGTTGCAAAATCCCGTCTCCCCCGTAGTTTAAATTCATGTTATTGTTCCCGGCTTGGTCCACCTCGAAGTTGTTGTTTTCTTTCAGCGTTTTCTGCTCCGCGCCACCGATCTCTTTATCATAATCCTCCCCGAAAGGGTCTTGCTTCATCACCTTCACATCCGTGTTGAAACCGAAAGAGCTGGAGAAAGTCTGCGGGGTGGTTTGGTATTCCGTTAGTCTGCTGGTGAATTGCGTTGGCTCTAAGAAAACCGTTTTGTAATTCAAATTCGCGGACTCGGAGAAATAGAGTTTCAAATAATCCTCCGGATCGTGCTGGTTCGCCGCGTCAAACATGTAGGAAAACGTCACATCCCCGGCGATGAAGTCTTTTCGTAAGTCGAAATCCTCAAACTGCAGATCCGCGACGAGATTTTTCACCACATCATACACTTCCGTCGTGGAAAAGGAGTCCGTCGGGATTTTGTTCTCGTGGTTCGTCTATGAAATGGAAATATGTCTGGGTCTGGAAGATTGCATGTCTGTCATGCTTGTCTGGCGTGAGTCTTCAATCTCTCATGCACATTACCCAAGCGCTGCACTTTTTTGTCATGCAGAATTAGGCAACACCTAGAAGCTCAGAAACTTGTCATGCTGAGCCAGCACTTGTGGCCTGCTCGTGATACGCCACCCAGCATCACAAGTTTCCAGACCACCCAGTCATACTTGCAATGCATATCGTCCTTTTGTCCGCAATTCTGACCGCGAAGAAGTTTTGGTGGAGTAGAGAAACTTTTGGGTTGAACAAGTGTTCTCCCGTTTTCAAGTTTTCCCTCAGTTTTCCGAAATCCGCAGGGCCGGTGTTGGCGGAATCGAGGTCCTCAATAATCGCGTATGATTTTTTTTCCGTAGGAATCGTGTGGTATGCAACTACACAAATTATCACTTCCGCACACGTAGTACAAAAAGCATGACAAATAACTCGGCCAACTTGGATCATGTAATTTGTCATGCTGAATTGGATTGATGGAAAGTTTTGTCATGGAGGAACCGCATGTTTTTGTACGTCGTGTACGGAACAAGTAGATTTACTGTTGATATGTGCCTCCTGGAATAGCCCACATCCGGGTTCAAACCCACAGCGGTGTAACGGGGATGCTTCGCGGTTTCACCCGCAATTCCAGACGGCGTGAAGTTGTAGGCTTCATACGTGATCTTATCCGTCGTTATGGATTGCAGAAGTGTCTGGGTCTGGAAAGTTGGAACTTGTGATGCTGCATTTGGATTCTAAAAAAATCTGTATTGCATGAGCAGCAAAGAGAGTCCAAGTTTTGCTACACGGAATGCGCATTTGTCATGCGGTATAGGCATCAGGAAGCCCTCACAAAATCTGTGATGCTAGGGCATGCATCACAGACATCAGGAGTCATGCAAAATGTGCATGACAAACCTTGGATCCTTCCAGACCCAGACATTTTTGCATTTGATAGTCGTGAACTCCTTGCAATTGGACCCATCCGCAGCGCAACTCGGGTCTGTTGTCGTCTCAAACGCTCTTGTCACCCCAGAAGCGCTCGCGTTCACCAACAACTGCTCGACCTTCAGCGACTCGAGTCCGATAAAGTGCATCCCCTCCAAGGAATTCTGGTTGCTTAAGCTCGCGTAATCCAATTCCGCGACCAAATTCGGCCTTATCAAGTCTCCGAAAGCATCGACGTTATCTGCCTGGTAGATCTCGACCTTGCAGTGCGGGATCAAATCCTTTCTGATCAAGGGGTTCGACCACTGCAGCAAACCAGAGATGTACCCATAGTTCGGATTCAAGTCTTTGAAAAGCAAATTGCTCACAGTGGAGGTTTGGTCGAAAATCGACACAGATAAACCGTTGGATTTTATCCTCTTCGAAGGGTTGTTGCTTGTTCCGGATGTTTGTTTGCTCACTTTTCCGATTTTCACCGTCACCACGGTCGCGCGGGGAGAAGTCAGATACGTGTTGTATTCGAAGGTAAACGCAGTACTACCGTTGTAAGCGGAGCCGATGTACCTCTGGACGGATTCCGCGTTGAAATCGCCAAGGAAGATATCATAGCGGATGTTGCTGTACTGTTTCTTGCTGTAGTCGGTCGCGGGGTCTAGTGTTTCGGTCTCATCTCCTGTCATCAACCCGTCTTCAGTTTTGTCTAACTTGCTGGATCTGTGCAGCAGTTCCCAGGTCAACTTTCCCTTAATCAGCCCCGTTTGGTAATCCTCGTCGAGAAACTGCAGATTTTTCACGGAATAGTCCTCATCGGTAATCTCCAAAATCCGCACTTTGGTCTGATAAAAATCGTTCAAGTCGTACGACAAGTCCGCTTTTTGGTAATAAGGCTGCGAGGACACCTGCTGGCCTTTGCTGGTCAACGCCGACAAGAACAGATTCGGGAGAAAAGGAGTAGCTGTTTCTTCAACCACAGAGGAGTGCGCCACGTGGTTCCCATCGCCGGTCGCCGCGTGGTCGACGATCCGGGTTAGGGAGTGCCCGTACGGATTGTAACTCGCCAAGACTGGGATAGGTTCGACCTGCCCGGATGTTGTACTGCTAGAAGAACTATCCACTTCACCCAAATCCAATTCCGTTTTTCCCGCATCCACCACGCCGAGCACCCTTTTATCCGTCCCAAATTCATCCTTCGCCGCTTCGACGAGGATTTTGTCCACAAACAGCACATCGGAGTGTTTCGGGACAAAATTCTTCCGCCAGAGATTTTGTTGCGCGGTCGTGTCTAAAGATTCCCCGTCGGGGGAAAAGTAGGAGAGCACGGAGGAAAACATGGTGGTTGATTCCCCAGTTGTAGCAGGCTGTCCGTACGCAGACTCGGATCCAGCGGGTAAAACACTGGTCGAAAAAGCGTCCTTCTGGACCGCTTCCACCGCAAACGGGTTGATGGTTCCATCTAACGTCGAATGCTCCAAGAAATACGCGGAACTTTTTTCTGTTCTCCCGAACTCGCTGCTTGTCATATCCTCGATGAACTTCGTCATGTTCTGCTTCAACAACCGGAATTTTACCTGCCCGTCCATCTCGTTTTCATCGATATCGGTGTCTGTGAAAGAAACCTGCTCCATATGACAGCGCACAACTCGAACTCCCCCTCCTACTGATTTGTCATGCAAAATAGCCAATCCGCCCTTTGACTCTTAGCACTGTTTGCATGACAAGTTCTGGTTGGTGCCCAAATAGCACTACACGCTAGTGCAAATTTGTCATGCAAAACCGACATTCTTGCTTAGGCTTGTATTGCCGTTCATGCGATACAAATGAGGGGGAGGGGGAGTTGTGCACTGTCATACTCCAGCGCCAAATGCCTGTCGTTGATGAACGTCGAGGCGTATCCTGTGCAAAAGTATCGCACTCGTACTAATCGCAGTCATGCAAGACAAATTTCTTTTTGAAGCGAAATCAGCATGACAAGTTCCATTTGTCATGCTGAGCTAATTTGTATTGCAATACTACGAGTACGATGCTTTTGCAGTGCATAAAGCGAAAGGGGTTTGAGTCGCTGCCGGTAAAGTGTCCACCGCGGAACTACTGCCGAAGGGATAAGCGACCAAAAAGCTGTAGTTCCCGGGAGTTGCTCCTCTTCCGGTGCTAATCTTCGTGTCCTCAAGGATTTCGAATTTGAGACTTTTCGTCAAATCCTGAGACGTGGCAGTGTAGGAGAATTGTCCGAGTTTTAGCAGGTCCGCATTCGGATTCGTTTTCCTCCCATCAGCCTCCTGCGACAAAAACAAGCCAACGCCGTGGCTGCTGGATGGTGTAGGGATTTGAACCACGCCCGCGATTTCGCCTAAGTCCAAATCCAAATCATCGAAGTACAAACTGCGCATCGTCGGAGTAGTACTGGTAGCCGGCTGCGTCAACTCCGCATTCCAATCCTCCACGCGGATGGCAAACCCCATCTGCTTCGCGTACAGCGTTTCCATCAGAAGCTTTTTCTCATGCGCGTTCGCTAGTTGTGCGCTGTCGAGAAAGGTGCTAAGCGGGCTGGTGAAGTTCTCATACGCGGTCAAAATTGTGTCAACTTGCGGATCCAATAGCCGCAACTCCGCGATCTCCTCGCTGCTTCTCGACCGGATGGGGAAAATGACCAGTGTATCCTGACTTGTGAAATCCGCGTTTTCGATCTGCAACAAACTCGTAAACCGCAGCTTCTCCGACTCCCAGAACAAGCCTGTGGCTTGGTGGCTTGTTTATCCTGTGCAAAAGCATCGCAGTCGTATTGCAATCATGCATTACAAATCTTTTTCTTATAGGTCAATCAGCATTACAAATTTTATTTCTCATGCTGAGGACATTTGTAATGCATTTATACGAGTACTACTTACGATACTTTTGCATTTCATATTGTTTCCTGCTCGACAACTTCCGGAAAATCGTTCTTGATGAGCGCCGTTTCCGGGATAATTGGCATCACTTCCTCCTTCATAAACGCGACGAGAAAGTTGTTCGAAGAAGTACTAGACTGCTGCACTACTCCCGCCTGTAGTTGGTTGTCTGGCGAGTTGTAATTTTCCACTAAATCGTAGCTCAGGGAAGAATTCGCGATAAACCTGTAGTCCGCGACAGAGGAGGACACCGCATGGACGCCCGGCTTAATTACTTCGGTTTGGTTGATGATATCGAAGCCCGTTGTGGAGCTCATGACTGACTGCAAACGGCTAGCGCTGATGTCCGCAATTGTTGTCGAAAGTAGACCTGCTGAGGAAGAAGCACCACTATTCGACGGTGGCGGGACATAGCTCATCTCGTGCCGGAACAGCGTCTCCCCAAATCCAGCACCATACCTCTGCTCACGGTCTTCGTCTTTGACAGTGGTGGTCCTGTTTTGAAAAGCAGTACTTCCTCCGGCCATCCACCCGTTACCGGATTCGACGTCGTGAGTTATGAATTGCAAGCGTGTCTGGGTCAGGAAGATTGCCAGGTTTGTTTATGCATTTTTTGCATGACCCATGATGTCTGTAATGCCTAACCTAGCATCACAGATATTTAGAGGGCTCCCTGATGCCGATTCCGCATGAGAAATGCCCTCTCCGCGGATCACAAACTGGCACTGGGCTCCTGCTCTTGCTGGTCATGCAGTAAAGATTTTTTGGGAATCTACGGACAGCATCACAAGTTGCGACCTGCCAGATCCAGACACATTTGCATTTCATATGAATAAAAGTGGAGCTATTCGTGCTGTAGACCAAATACCCGACGATCAATGGGTTCGCATTGCCGTTCGCGATTTGTTTTCGTTCCAGTTCTTGGTTGAGAATTTTGCGTAGCCTATATCAAAAGGAAAAATCCGCCCTCCCCGTATCGAAAAGGAAATTTGTGATACTGTTTTTGAGTTATACCAGTCGAGGTCGACTTGCAATGCTAGAAGGCCAAGAGCCGCAGCCGTGGCCTCGTTTGCAGGCAATTTGTCATGCTGTTTCCCACTTCCAGCCGCCTCCTGTCATGCTGAAGACGCAAGGCTTTCCCACGCCAGCCAGCACTACAGTCCGCATCTTTTCCCTTCTAGCATGACAAAGCTGATTTGTGGCCACAAATCTGCATCACAGATTTCCGTTTTGATATGGGGAGGGGGGATTTTTCTTCTTGATAACCTACAGTTGATATCTTTCTTCCGCAAAGCCGTCGTTTCGCACTCCTTCTTGTCGAAAGCATAGAAAAATGAACTGCAAAAGTATCGCACTCGTATAAATGCATTACAAATTTTCGCAGCATGAGAAAGAAAATTTGTAATGCGGATTGATCTTAAAAAAGGGATTTGTAATGCATGATTGCAATACGAGTACGATACTTTTTCACAGGATAAGAGGCGGTTCTTGCTCTGAGTAGTTGTTACAACCGGATAAGCCCTGGTTGCGAGAGTTCCAAACGTCTGGCTGGAACTACTGTACCCACTGCTCGGCTTTTCATCCTCGATCAATTTCTGATAAGTTGAAATCGGCTGGGCGTGCCTTAAATCCCCGGAAATCTTGTTTTCCTTCACATTCTTATCCGTGAAATGCGAAATCGTCTCGGACATCTGGAGAAACGCGGCGGGAGAGGATTGCTGAAAGAATTTCGACTTCGCGTAAATCAGGAAGTACTTGCTTCTTGCTAAAAACTTCTCCTCGTTCTCCTTCAAAGACAAGAACGGGTTGTAGAAATTCGCCGCGGTTCGAACATTATCGACCGATAAACTGTTCACATTCTCAAAAACCTCCCGTCTGGCGATGTTGCTCGCCCCGCCGTAGAAATTCACCAGAGAGGGGCACTGGAAGGAGGATAAAGTTGCGTGTCTCCTCGCGTTAGTGACAGAAATCGTTGTGTCCAAGCTGAAATCCTCTGCTGCCGTCGCCGTGGTTGAAGATACAGCAGTTGAGTAGGACTTCGTGTATGGTTTCAAAAGATTTCCGCTATCCGCAAACTTTTCCTTCTTCACCAGTTCCGTGCTTTTATCCTGTGCAAAACTATCGCACTCGTAGTAATTGCATTCATGCATTACAAATTTTTTTCTTAAGGTAAATCCGCATGACAAATTTTATTTCTCATGCTGGGGAAATTCGTAATGCATTTATACGAGTACGATACTTGTGCACAGGATAGTTTTCCGGCAGAAACAACTTCACGGGGAACTCCGGGAAGGGAGTTTTGAAAACAAACTTCGTCAGCCCAAACTCTTTCTGCTTTGTTGAATTTGACAAAAGAAGCAGGTTTGGATTCCCACCGGAATAGTCGCTGGTCGTCACGTCAATGACGGTGGCGAATTCTTCTGTTGTTAGTCCGTCTGGCATAGTCTTGTTGTAGGAGAAAACTTCTTTAAACCCGCCAAAAGCCATCTCCTCCGCCGTGTGCGCGTGAATCGCATTGTAGAGATACTCTTGGGTCACCTGCGAGTCCTCGACAGCACTTGTCATGCTGGACTGACTGGATGAAAACCCTTTTTCCAGCACAAAGTTCCGCCCCAAAGGGTTGTTCGCCGTCCAATTTGGATACAAGGCAATAACATCCTGGACGAAGGAAGAGAACTTCCCTTCGGAGCTCTCAAAATAACTGGACAACTGCGGTTGCACCCGCATCGCATTTGCGAGAGCCGCTGCATTTGGAACAATTTGCTCTGCCGTGATTTTCTGCGCATTTTCCTTGCTCCTTTCGGAAAGAATGGTAACCGGATAGCCCTCCAATAAATACCTCTCATCGTCCGTCGGAACTCCGAAAATTGCTGGTTCAACAGCACTTGTAGTGCCACCACCACTACCTGCTTTCAACCCCATCGGCGGAAGCCCTTGTAAGTCCTGCAATATCTCCCGTTTCCCGCTCTTCGAGAGCGAAAAAGGCGAGTAGAAAAACGTGTAATTGTGCGCATCCCTCTGACTGTTCCGCACGTCCCCCGGAGGCCAGAACTCCTGCGCAGAATCAAACCCGGAGATCTTGCTGGCGAGTTCGTTCAACCGTTTGTCCTCAAACACCACTGTGCTGTAGATCTGATTTCTATTCCCGAAGTTTTTGTCCATTGGATTCATGTTCATCCTTTGCTGGACAGTCAATGCGGCTAGTTTGTTCGCATCCAAGTAATTCGCCGGGTTGTTTTCCTCCTCTATTCGGATTACCCTTGTGTTCCGCCCGGTCGTACTGTTCGAAGTGTAAATGGCTAATTCCGAGATCGTATCAAATGCAAAAATATCTGGGAGGTCTAGACACTTGTAATGCTAAAAGTGAATGAGACGAGTTCCACTGCAATATGGAGCCAAGCATGGCAAATTTTTGGGCTCCAGTGTGTTGCGTGTTCCGCATGGCAAGAAACTGCGTTTTTGCATGACAGGTAAGAAGACAGCTTCGTGCCCATGCGTCACAGATTCTTGAGCCATGTCAGACATGCATGACAAATGTAGCAATCTTCCAGACGCAGACACTTTTGCATTTGATAGATCAAATTCTGCGAAAACTCATCCACCGTTTGTCCCCAATTCAAGAACCCGGAAATCTCGTTGAAATCTGGATCCGTGTCCACGGCGAAGAAATCTTTGAAGGAGACAAAATTATCCCGAAGGATTGTCCCGCCGGCTGTCGGGTCTTGCTTCGAAGGGACAGATATCAAGTGCAAATATATCTGCGATGGAAGGTTGCCGGGTTTGTCATGTATATTTTTCATGACCCATCGTGCCTGTAATGCATGACTTAGCATCGCAGATTTTTGGAAAGCTTTCTGATGCCTACTCCGCATGACAAATGCCCTCCTCGCGTAGCACAATCCGGGCTCCTCTTGTTGGTCATGCAATACAGATTTTTTTAGAATCCAAAGACAGCATGACAAGTTTGGATCCTTCCAGACCCCGACATATTTGCAATGTATAACAGAATTCGCGTACACGTAGCTGGACTCGGAAATCAAACTCGCGTAGTCGGAAGCGACGCCGTATCATGTGCAAAAGTATCGCACTCGTACAGATGCAAGTCTTGCATTACAAATCTTGTTTCCATGGCAAATCTGCATTACGAATTTTATTTCTCATGCTGGGGAAATTTGTAAATGTAATGCATCTATACGAGCACGATGCTTTTGCAATTCATAGGCCGCCGGCCACATTGATGATCTTGGATTTCGAGGGGGAAGCGGAGTAGAGAGAGGAGATATGCTGGCTACTAGTACTGGAAGATGCTGCTGCTGCGCTGGCTGAAGGTGCAGTCGCTCCTCCCAGCGCTGCGACGTTCCAGGTCTCTTTCGACCCCCCGTGATTCGCTTTCAAGTGTGTCACTGTCGTGACTGTTCTTTCACTTTCCACTTCAAAATCACCCTCGTAAACCACCGTCGCTTTCTTTTCAAATTCCGTGTCATTCATTAACTGGGAAAAGACCAGACTGCCCATCGAAGAAGCACCTTGCTGAACAATTCCCGTGGAGTTTATGCAACACAAATCTTCCGTTCCCGTACAGCAGACACAAAATGTTGCATCCCAAATTTTTCCCCAGCTGAAAGCACGCCACTTGCCATGCTGAATAGGCTTGAAGGAAAAGGTTTGTCATGCACAAACCGCGTGCGTATGTGTGCGGGAACATGAAATTCGCTGTGCATAAGGTTTGTCTCCATCACAGCGTAGCTTCTACTCTGCTTTTCCTGAAACCAATTCCCGGCGAAAATTTCCCACTTCTCATTCCCCGAAAAGTACGTGTTTTCTGGGATCTTCAACGAAAGCGCAACAACCGGGTACGCCACTTTTCCGGCGGCGCAGTACTGTTTCAAATATCGTGAGCAAAAACGACCCTACCCCAGAGTTGTCATGCAGATTTGGAATGACAGGAAAACTTCAACTTGTGATGCGCACCCCCATGGTAGATATTTAGAGTCGTGTTTTGGAATTTGTCATGCTGCAAACAGGATAAGCGCATGGATTTGTAACGCGGCTGTCCTTGCTAACGTGCACTGCACTACGGACTGCAACTTGTCATGCGTGACTGCCAACACTTTTCGGCTTGTGTTGCAAAGTCTCCATCTTGACTATGGGGCGCGGACGTTTCTTTTCCTCAGGATATCAAAAGGTCGAAGGTTTCGGTGTCGTCCTCTGTCTGTGCGAGAAAATCTGTGTTTATCATGAGAAAAAAGTGTTACAGTTACACACTCAGATGCAAGACCAGCAAGACAGGAAACCTCTGTCATGCAGGAAATGCTTCCCAGCCCCATTTCATAGGTGTTTTCCCTTAGAGTCTGCGCATTACAAGTTTTCTTTGCTATGCGGACCAACTTTGTGATGCTGTAATTGCAATAGACAATAGAGCTGATGCTGTAATTGCAACAAATGTGTAACCGTAACACTTTTTTCGTGCGATAGTGTTGCTGGAGGAAGTACTTCTAGGGGACGAAGAACTGTAGCTCAATTTCACTGCGCTGACGCGTAGTTGTGCGGTAGAAACAGCAACTCGCGTGCTGTTCATGTAGGACTTCAACTTGATCACGTTGCTGCCGACCTTCATGAAGCTACTGCCAGCACCCCTTGGAATCTGGATTGCGGTCGGTAAAAAGCTGTAGCTGGACATAGACTCTAATTGTCCTCCGCTCGTCGGTGGGAATTCGACCAGATTCCCAATACTCCGCCCGTTGACCAAAACCTGTGCGTAGAAACTTTCCGTTGTATCGTGAGAAAAAACTGTTACAGTTACACACCCTGATGCAAGACCAGCAAGACAGATAACCTCTGTCATGCAGGAAATGCTTGCCAGCCTCATTTCGTGCGTGTTTTCCCTTATAGTCTGCGCATTACAAGTTTTCTTGACCATGCAGAGCAACTTTGTTATGCTAAAATTGCAACATCTGTGTAACTGTAGCACTTTTTTCCTGTGATACGTTGCGGCGGAGTCATAGTAGTACTCGAAATTCACTTCGTAGAAGAAATCCCCAGACGAACTTATGACACGCTCAGACGTTACAATCTCAACTGTTACAATAGAGTCTGGATTTTGTGATGCAAGAAGTGCATGATGATCTAGCCAAGTCGCATAGGATTGCGCATGACAAGTTCTGGAGTGCCAAACCGCACTAGAATCTGGCAAAATTTGTATTGCGAAAAGCGCAAGACTCTGCACGTTCCTCATGCGTTTCATGCGAAGGCAAGTTCCTGACTCTATTGCAACGTCTGAGATTGTAACACCTGAGCAGGTTATAAATCTTGAGCGACTCGACGGAGGTGCAGGCGCGCAATCCGGAATCTCCCACTGCAAGTAGTCGGTCGTGTCTGCCTGTAAGGTCGCGCGCACAACACTGCCACCATCCACTGCTTGTAAGTGCTATCGTATGAAAAAAGTGTTTCACTGTAAGGATTTTGCAAGTTTTGCATCACAAGTTTGTTCTACATCACAGAGAAAATTTGCCATGCAAGATTCCTAAGGGAATACACAGCTAAAAATCCACTGTCTTGCATGTGTAGCAAGACAAATACTTCTCAGATACATTTTCTGCATTACAAGTTTACAGTGAAACAGTTTTTTCTTGCGATAAGTGCTGCGAGTACCCCTGCAGGTATTTTCCGTGCTTCGCGAGAATATCAGAATTCCTCACCACCTTCCCGTTGTTCAACTTTGCGTTCGTTAATTTCAGCTCTTCCTGCTTCTCGGACGGGCGGCTGGATTTGTAACTGAACCCGAGATCCACGACAGAAAAGGTCCCGCTGCAATTCCCCGCAGAGGAGAAGATCGATTTTTGATCCACACCCCCACCAGACTGTAAGTTATTCCCGTACTTCGCGTAGGAATGGTGGTTTTTGTTGCCCGATAGCACGTCGCTCATCTTCAGCCCGTCGCCCTGCAAGTTCGGGCACGTCATGTTGGGAAAAAAAGGGCCAACGTAGTCGATTCCGTTCCAGGTGCCGTAGAAGGAATTCGCCAGCTCTTCGTCCGCGATGGGTTTGTAGGTGAGGCCGGGAAGAGTTGATAAGACTTTCAAGTCTGAGAAGTCTGTCGTGGTTAGATTCAAGTAAATTTTCCCGAACAGCTCTTTCTCGTTCGTACTGCTATCCAAAAACGTCCTTTCCACGGTGAACTGCTGTACATACTTGATTGCATCCAGAGAGACATTCCAAGTCAAGAACCCTGCGTATGGCGTTCTCAACTGTTACATTCTCAACCGCTGCATGAATTTGTGATGCAAGCATGGCAAAAGTGCAAGAGGTCACCTTGCGCGTCTTGCATGACAGATCTGGCAAAGGCCCCCAGACTGTTCGGCTCTTCGAGAATTTGTCATGCGAAGCAGCTTGATCGTGTCGATTCTGATTGTGATTTTGCATTACAAATCATGTAACAGTTGAGAATGTAACGTTTGAGAACGCCATACAGCGATTTCCGTTTGATCCAGGTCGTGATCCAAAAACCGCGGGGTGATCGGGCTCGCGTCGCGGTCGGACAGAGTCAGGTAGTAGGGGGAATCTTGAGTCCAGGTCTGCATTTGCTGGGCAGCACCAGCAGCCGCTGTGCTAGTACTAGTACTGCTTGCTGTAGAAGTTGTTGCTAATGGTTCCACCTTCGCTGCAGCGGAGAGCTCGAAATAGCCGTAGTTCACGCGTAATTCCTGTTTCGTGATGGCGGAAATGTAGCCCGAATCTTGTGCGGCGAAAATGTCCACGTCCGCCGGGATCGTCAGGTTGAGTTCGTGCGGCTTGTGGGTTCTCAGCGTTTGCAGACTGGACGCGGAGGAGAACGCGGAATGGGTTTGAGGGTGAAAAATTTCTGCTGAACACAGGGCTAGCTTCTTGTGAGTTTGGCGGGGCTGTCTGCCAGCAGTACGGAAACACACACCTGCGCCTGGCGTCACATCGGGGACCTTGTCTGGCGCCAAATGGCGTCACGGGGACCTTGCGTGGCGCCACGTGGATCCTGCGTGGCGCCACGTGGCGTCACGGAGATCCTGCGTGGCGCCACGGGAAACCTGCGTGGCGCCACGTGGCGTCACGGGGACCTGGCGTGGCGCCACGTGGCGTCACGGGGATTCTGCGTGGCGTCACGGGAATCCTGCGTGGCGCCACGTGGCGTCACGGGGACCTGGCGTGGCGCCACGTGGCGTCACGGGGATCCTGCGTGGCGTCACGGGGACCTGGCGTGGCGCCACGTGGCGTCACGGGGATCCTGCGTGGCGTCACGGGAATCCTGCGTGGCGCCACGTGGCGTCACGGGGACCTTGCGTGGCGTCACGGGAATCCTGCGTGGCGCCACGTGGCGTCACGGGGACCTTGCGTGGCGCCACGTGGCGTCACGCGGACCCTGCGTGGCGCCACGGGGATCCTGCGTGGCGTCACGGGAATCCTGCGTGGCGCCACGTGGCGTCACGGGGATCCTGCGTGGCGTCACGGGAATCCTGCGTGGCGCCACGTGGCGTCACGGGGACCTTGCGTGGCGTCACGGGGCGTCACGCGGACCCTGCGTGGCGCCACGGGGATCCTGCGTGGCGTCACGGGAATCCTGCGTGGCGCCACGTGGCGTCACGGGGATCCTGCGTGGCGTCACGGGAATCCTGCGTGGCGCCACGTGGCGTCACGGGGACCTTGCGTGGCGTCACGGGGCGTCACGCGGACCCTGCGTGGCGCCACGGGGATCCTGCGTGGCGTCACGGGAATCCTGCGTGGCGCCACGTGGCGTCACGGGGATCCTGCGTGGCGTCACGGGAATCCTGCGTGGCGCCACGTGGCGTCACGGGGACCTTGCGTGGCGCCACGTGGCGTCACGCGGACCCTGCGTGGCGCCACGGGGATCCTGCGTGGCGTCACGGGAATCCTGCGTGGCGCCACGTGGCGTCACGGGGATCCTGCGTGGCGTCACGGGAATCCTGCCTGGCGCCACGTGGCGTCACGGGGACCTTGCGTGGCGTCACGGGGACCTGGCGTGGCGCCACGTGGCGTCACGGAGATCTTGCGTGGCGCCACGGGAAACCTGCGTGGCGCCACGTGGCGTCACGGAGGTCCTGCGTGGCGCCACGGGAAACCTGCGTGGCGCCACGGGGATCCTGCGTGGCGCCACGTGGCGTCACGTGCTGGACCTGAATTCAGGTCTTCGACTAGACCTGAACTCAGGTCCCCGACTAGACCTGAATTCAGGTCTCCGGCTGGACCTGAATTCAGGTCTCCGACTAGACCTGAATTCAGGTCTCCGGCTGGACCTGAATTCAGGTCCCCGGCTGGACCTGAATTCAGGTCTCCGACTAGACCTGAATTCAGGTCCCCGACTAGACCTGAATTCAGGTCCCCGGCTGGACCTGAATTCAGGTCTCCGACTAGACCTGAATTCAGGTCCCCGACTAGACCTGAATTCAGGTCCCCGGCTGGACCTGAATTCAGGTCTCCGACTAGACCTGAATTCAGGTCCCCGACTAGACCTGAATTCAGGTCCCCGGCTGGACCTGAATTCAGGTCTCCGACTAGACCTGAATTCAGGTCTCCGGCTGCACCTGAATTCAGGTCCCCGGCTGGACCTGAATTCAGGTCTCCGACTAGACCTGAATTCAGGTCCCCGACTAGACCTGAATTCAGGTCTCCGGCTAGACCTGAATTCAGGTCTCCGACTAGACCTGAATTCAGGTCCCCGACTAGACCTGAATTCAGGTCCCCGACTGGACCTGAATTCAGGTCCCCGACTGGACCTGAATTCATGTCCCCGGCTGGACCTGAATTCAGGTTCTCCGCTGGGCCGGAATTCAGGTTCCCGCCGGACCCGATTGAATTCATGTCGCCCTGACGTTGGGGTGACGCTCTTGACTTCCCGAACGCCCGAAGATAATCGTCAAAATTTTTCACCTTCATACGGCAACCCAGACGTGCTTAATAGCAAGCTCGCATTGTACGACCCATCCGCAGCTCCAGTGGCGACGCCCATTACAACCGCTACTGCTGAAGTGGTTGCACTGGCACCGGTTGGCGAAAAGTAGCTGGAATAAGTCGAGACGAAAGCCGCGGCGCCGTCGTCGCTGCTCGATACATCAGCTGCTGATGATGTCGCAGTTAGCCACTCGGTGTAATTGTCGATCTTCGCTATTGGTACCTCGAAAACCAGTTTCTTCTTCGACAAAACTGCGTAGTCCTCGGCGTAGTAAGTTGGAAATTCGAACGTTGGAACAACGGTAGTCGTGACCGTCACACTCGCATTCAGTGTTGCGTTCGGGTCGAATTCCACCCCTGTCGCGTTTGGATCTATCTCCACTACCGGAGTCGCAACGAACGGCAGCTGCAAATACAGCCCCCTCTGGTCACTCGCGTTCACGGCCCACACCTGCATGGAGACCTGCAGACTCTCCACGTGGGAAGCAAGATTGGTCACGCCCTGGTCGAACTTCATACTCGTCGTGTTCTCGTACAAAGGGAGAACGGATAACTCCAGCTGCCCTCCGATTTCCCGCTGGTCTAAATCGAGATCCTCGAACACCGGCTCGGTTATAACCGCGTGGTTGTCGTAAAACAATCGGTGAAATTTCCGCGCCTCCACCGCGTAGAGAAAGTTCTGCTCGCCGAGGACGTTTTCGGCGAGGCAAATGATGTGTGTGTATTCTTTCGTCGCGGAAAGAGTTCGGTTTTGGTTTCTTATCGATTCTTGGACGAGTGTCGATTTTGGAATTTCGTATTGCTGGATAAATTCCGTGTTGTACAAACTTGTGTTGCTGTTCGCCGTTATTGTTGTTGTACTGGCATAGTAGCCTCCGATTCTTTCTGGATCGACACTGATCCCACTCGCCGCAGCAACGGAAGCTTTCGTGTAGCTTTTCACAATGAAGTATCAAATGTAAAAATGTCTGGGTCTGGAAGATTTTTAGATTTGTCATGCACATTTTCCATGACCCATGACGTCTGTGATGCATGCCGTAGCATCACAGATTTTTAGAGCGCTTTCTGATGCCTCTACCGCATGACAAATGCCCTCTCCGCGTAGCCAAAATTGCATTCTTTTTGCTGGTCATACAATACAGATTTTTTTGGAATCCAAATGCAGCATCACAAGTTCGGACACTTCCAGACCCAGACATTTTTACATTTGATATGAAGTCCTTGTAATTCTTCAAGCTGCTGGTTTCCGTCACCGGGCCTATCAAATGTAAAAATGTCTGGGTCTGGAAAATTGCTACATTTGTCATGCATGTCTGATATGGCTCAAGAATCTGTGATGCATGGGCACAAAGCTGTCCTCTTACCTGTCATGCAAAAACGCAGTTTGCTATGCGGAACACGCAACACATAGGAGCCCAAAAATTTGTCATGCTTGGCTCCGTATTGCAGTGGAACTCCCATTCACTTTTAGCATTACAAATTTCCAGACCCAGACATTTTTACATTTCATAGGTCCTGTCGACGTGCTATTCACCCCACCCGTGTCGTCGTGGAAATCGACGGAAAAGAGGAGTTTTTTATCCTCGACCAAGCCTGCATCTCCTTCCGTTGCGAAGATCATCGGGTAGTCGATACCCGGAGGTTATCAAATGCAAATATGTCTGGGTCTGGAAAGTTGTGATGCTAATGTCCGAATGATACGCAACCTGTATTAGGGGGCCGCGCATGACACGTTTCTGAGGAGCTATGTCTCGCATGACACATGGCTTTTTGCATGGCAAACAAGCGGCACGACTGTAGCGCACCAAGCATGACAGACTTTTCTGTCTTGTCAGCCAAGCATGACAGACTTGCACTCTTCCAGACCCCGACGTACTTATTTGCCGTGGATAGGGGTAGCTGCATCTGCTCTGCTGCGTACATCTGCAGAGGTGATAATTTGTACGGTAGCTCCCCCAGCACTTTCGACGATTTCGTGTACAATATGCATTGCAAAAGTATCGTACTAGTATAAAACGCATTACAAATTTTCCCAAGAAAAAAAATTCAATTTGTCATGCTATTTCAGGTAGAAAGTTGGATTTGTCATGCATATCTGCAATTAGTACGAGTACGATACTTTTGCACAGGATATACAAGCTCTCCTCGCAAATCTCCGAGTTGTTGTAGAAACACAGCGGCTTGGGACTGCTCGCAGCATTGGAAGTTATGGTAGATGTGTTGCTAGTCAGCAAGTTCGGTCCGGGGAGAATTTTCGCCAAATAGAAGTTCAATCTTTCCACCACCGGTTGTTTCGTTTTAATCCTGTAATCGTCCAACAAACTCGTTATGTTCTTGGTACTCGTCGTTTCAAAATTGCCGACCTGCAAATAGTAGTCCAAGTACCCGCCGATCTCGTTTTTGTCAAAATCTAAGTCGATGAAGTTCGTGATATTCGCTGTTAGATCCAAATCGTTGAACTCAAAAGTCTGCCGATCGCCCGAAAACCACTTGATAGATAAAGCGTCGGTCTGCTTGTACGTCGGATCGGTGGTTTTCGCGACTTGTAGCAGATTATTCCACTGGCCCACCGGGCTGGTACTAGTTCCGGCAGAGTACTTGTCCGCGGTCGCGGAGCCGGCGATTCTGATATCCACCCCGACTACTTTATTCAACAAATTCGACTTCCCGTAGAGGAGTATCCACTGCAAATCTGTCTGGGTCTGGAGGGATGCAAGATTTGTCATGCATCTCGCGGACGACAGACAACATGGGCTGTAGTGCACGCAGAAACATCATAGATTTTACGAGTCCTTCCTGATTCCTATCCCGCATGACAAATCTGTCTTTCGCTTAGCAAGAAGTGGGCAGCTTTTTGGTTTCATGCAACACAGATTTTGTTGTAGTTGAGAGTTCGCATGACAAGTTCCATCCTTCCAGACCCAGACATATTTGCATTGGATAAGCAGGGATCCGGCTTGATCGATCCCCGTCGGCTGGTTGGTGACGTTTGCCAAAAAGGAGGACTCTGGGTATAACCCGCTCAGGTGTTACAATCTCAAACGTTACAATAGAGTCCGGGATTTGTCTTGCATCATGAGCATGACAGACACGCAGACCGTTCCACTTTCTGCAATACAAATTTCGCCAGATTGTAGTGCGGTTTGGGACTCCGACTCCGGAACTTGTCATGCGCAGTCCTATCAGAGTTGGCTAGATCATGCATTTCTTGCATCACAGATTTCCAGATTCTATTCGTAACGTTTGAGATGGTAACTTTTGAGCAGGTCATACTGGATCCGCGTACGCGGCTTTGAAGGATTGCAAATCGGTAAATTCTATGGATTGCACCAAATAGGGCTGGGTTTGGAAGAGTGCATGTTTCTCATGCTTGTCTGGCATGACTCTTAAATCTGTCACGCACCTTACCCAAGAGCCCCACCTTGCTGCCATGCAGAAGCGCAGTTTGTCATGCAGAATAGGCAACACCTAGAAGCTCAAAAGCTTGTCATGCTGTGCCAGCACTTGTGGCCTCTTCATGATACGCCACCCAGCATCACAAGTTTCCAGACCCAGACATTTTTACAATCCATAAATTCCACATCCTTCCAAAAATTCTTGTCCGCCGAACTAAACCCAGCCGACAAATCCTTCCGAAAATCCACGACCGTGAAGTTTTTCTGCCCGTTCAACTATCAAGAGCAAATATGTCTGGGTCTGAAAACTTGTGATGCATGTCAGTGAACAGAATGTGCACTGTAATGCAGAGCCAAGCATGACAGATTTCTTCGTGGCTCTGTGTTGCGTATTCCACATGAGAAACATCGCTTTCGCATGACAGACAAGGGGAGGCCTTCCTGGCCACGCAGTACAGAGTTCAGAGTCATGCCAAACTAGCATGAGAAGTCTCGCAATCTTCCAGACCCAGACACATTTGCAACGCATATCAACAACGCCCGGACGATCGCGTTGGACTGTCTATCCGCAGGATTGTACTTACTCGTCAAAATCGACGTGTCTTTCGGTACCGGAATCGTTAAAGTCGGCGTTGCGTCCACCGCGCAACTGGTGGTGACAACGGGAATTAACTCGGATTCATTTGTTGTCAAATTTGTTTGGTTTTGCAGAGTTGTGTTCTCGGTGCAGGTTGTGTAGTCTCTTGTGATATTCGGGGTTAGCTCCGCCACGTAGTTCACTGTGGTTGTGTTGTCACTTGCCGCCGCTTGGGACTCCGCTAGAAAAACCGCGTAGGTGACTGTGAAGGAAGGGGCTTTGGTGATAATCAGGCTGATATTCCCTCCCACTTCCAACGGGTCCAAATCGTAATCCATAAAATGGGATTTCGACGTGTCCACACCCCCGGTTTCGTCGATCGGCTTCACGTAGGCTATTGGTAGTTGCGTTTCGGAAAAAGTGTCTTCTGTTGTTGATGCTAACACCTTACTCGACTTCTCCAACTTCCCACTTGCGTACACCGCTAAGTAGTGCTTTTTCCCGGATAGTAATTCTGTCCTCTGAAACTCCTGCTTCAGCTCCGTTCCTATTGGTAAAACGAAGTAACTGTTGTCTGTCAAAGGGAGGCCAGTGGTCTCGTAGTTTGCTCTTTCGGATAACAGTTGCTTCGTGGTACACTGGTAGCCAGTGAAACCGGTTACAGGGTCGACAACCGCATTATTCCCAACGTTCGACCCGGTGATTGAGTAAGAATTTCTCTGCAAGAACTGGACCGCGACATTGTTCACCGTGAAACTGCTTCCCAACCCATCCAAATCATGGACAAAAGCGGAAGTTTGTGATGCGAAGTCAGAAACAGTCGCGGAGAAATCAGGAACAGCCACTGAAGCCGAAAAATTTCCACTACTCGCTATCAAGCCCGTCGCGGAATTCGGAGAGGTGCTGTTATCCTGAGTAAAAACGTACCCACGCCAGAGTTGTAATGCAGATTTGCAAAGACAGGAAGACTTGTAATGCGCATCCCCATGAGAGCCATTTCCCATCGTGTTTTGAAATTTGTGATGCTGTGAACAGGATGAGCAGATGAATCTGTAATGCGGCTGCACTTGCTAACGACCTGCACTACACTGCATAGCGCAACTTGTCATGCGTGACTCACAAAACTCCTAGGTTTGTGTTGCAAAATACCCATCCTGACTCTGGTGTGGGTACGTTTTTACTCAGGATAGCTGTAGTAGTGCGCGTAGTACTTCTCTGCGCCGTAATATCCAAGAAGAAAACATTGCAGGTGTAACTTTTTTGGAGGAACAGCATTACAAATTTGTCCGGCATGACAGCAAAAACCTGTCATGCGCAGATAGTATGTGAAAACGCCCTTAAATGGACCCTACGATGCATGCCAAGCATGACAGACGTAATCATCTTGCATGCTGCGCATCACAAATTTACACTAACAACGCTTTTTTCCTGGATACGTAAAGGTTGC